TGTGGTGGTGGTGGTGGTTTGTGGAGGTGGTGCTGGTGGTGGTGTGGTGCGGTTGGTGGTGGTGGTGGTGGTGGTGGTGGTGGTGGTGGTGGTGGGTTGTGCTGCTGGTAGTGGTGGTTGTGGCGGTGGTGGTGGTGGTGTGGTAGATTGTGGTGGTGGTGGGTTTTTGTGGTGGTGGTGGTGATGGTGAGTTGTGGTGGTGGTGGTTGTGGTGGTGGTGGTAGCTGTGGTGGTGGTGGTAGTGGTTGTGTAGTGGGGTGGTGGTGGTGGTGGGTTGAAGCGGTGGTGGTGCTGGTGGTGGTGGTGGTACTGCTTGTCATCGTCGCTGCGTCCCCGCCGTCGCCGGCGCCAGCGCCGGCGCTGCTGACCGCTGCCAGCGCCGGCGCCGGCGCCGGCGCCACGGGGGGGGAGGTTTGAACCCCCCCCCTTGGGCTGCCTCTGGTCATCGTTCCTGCGTCCCCGCCGTCGGCGCTGCTGGCGGCCGCCAGCGCCTGCGCCGGCCGAGGGGAGGGGGTTTTGAACCCCCCACCCCCCCCCTTGGGAGGGGGAGGGGAGAGGTTCGGGGGGAAGGGTTGGGGGGGGACGGGAGTCGGGAGTCCCCTCTGGTTTTGATTGACGGCGCCGAGTGTTGGGGGGGGGGCCACCCCCCGGTTCCAAACGCGCCGCCGAATGTTCCCAAGGCAAGTGCCCGTGAAACCCGCTATCTCAAGTCGAGAAAACGGTGGCCCTCGTTCGGCCTCCTGGAGCCCTCTCGCCGCCACGGCTGGGCCCGCTTCGAAAAACATGTCAAGATAGACCTTTGGAGCAGCCCGGGGACCCTCGTCGGGATCCTCGTCCTCTGCATTTGTCCCATGCTTTCCCGCAGCAAGGGGGCACCATACAGAAAAAGTGCGTGCCAGTAGGCTCCTCATGAGAATACACATGTTGTCTCATCGGGATCGAAGGTTGCGCGAGAGCGGCGAAATGTTGCAGGCTTACATGTAGCAAGGTGTATAGTCGGATTCTTCTGTGTCACCGTCGATCGCCTCATTGATAATCAGCCATGCATTGGTTGGTGTTGCATCCCCATCGTCATTTTTCATATGAAGTGTCCTCGCCTCGTTCGTCCTCAACATCTTGAGCACGTTCACTGTTCATCATTGTCCTCCCCGTCCTCGTCAATTTCCTCCGCGAGGAGGAGGTGGTCAAAGCTCCCTCAGAGAAACGCCTTGTCAATGTACCGAAACAGATGCTTGATCGGGAGAGATAGGAGTATACGAGTAGCCGCCGCTCTGCGGTTGATCGGGAGTTTGTGAATATATATATATATATACATGTATGTATGTATGTATATGTATATGTATATGTATATGTATATGTATCTGTATGTATTGCGCCCCGGTGTCCCCTTCTCCCCCCCTCCCACCACTCCCCCCCTGCCCTCCCCCCCTTCTGGACCCCCTGGGCTCCCCCGCACACCCCCCGACCCCCCCGGAGCCCTCCGGACACCCCTGGGACCCCCCCCCCGATCCATCTTCCCCAGACCCCCCCCCGGAACCCTCGGAGAGCCTCTTGGGGAGGGTCAGGGGGGCGATTTTTGGAGGATGTCTCAGGCGAGGGCGCCGGTTTGGCAGGCGGTGACGGATGGCGCCGTTTCCGGGACCGGGGGGGCGGTTGAGAGCCTCTTAGGGGGGGTCCGGGGGGCGATTTTTGGAGGATGTCTCAGGCGAGGGCGCCGGTTTGGCAGGCGGTGACGGATGGCGCCGTTTCCGGGACCGGGGGGGCGGTTGGCGGGCCCATTTCCTCGCGCGCCGGGGGTCAGGATGACGTGAGTTCACAAGACAAACTCCCTCACACAATTGTTTGATCGTCATCCGGTGTCCATTCAATTACTTTCTCTCTCCTGCCATCCATCCCTCCATCCTCCCCCATCCTCTGTACGATTTACGTCGATATCCCTTTTCCCTCCGTACTCGCCCCCGCTCTCTCTGCCCACCTGACTCCCCGTGTATCCCCCCACATCTTCACCCCGCTCCCTCTCGCCTCCCCTGCTCCGTCCGTCCCGCACGCCCGCTTGCTCATCACCGCCTCCTACCATCATCCGCGCGCCTCCTCCCCGCCGCCCCCCTTCCCCGCCGAGCGCCGCGCTCTCGCGACCTCAGGCCCTAGACAGCGACGTCCACCCCGGCGACTCCGCCTCGGGAGCGGCCACGCCGGTGCCGCGGGAAGCGGAAAGGGGCGAGGAGCAGGACCAGAAAAGGGGGGAGTCGGGCCGAAGAAGAAAAACGGCATCAATACAAATGTTTGGAGCTCCGCGCGGATGTTTTGGAACGGCGTTGGATTTTCTTGGCACGCACCGCGCGCCAGGGAGGCGTTAGCGAAGATCCAAGAACTCCGCGCGGAGCTCCGACAGTTACATATATATATATATATATATATATATATATGTATATGTATATATATGCGTATGTATGTACGACTATATTATATATATATAATATATATATTATATATATATATATATATGTGCACTTGCTTGTTCATAAAGGGGGGCGAGGGTGTGGGTGAGATGGGGGAGGTGGGAGGGGCCATCACCCGCCGTCGCGCTTCCCCACAGTCAACCAGTCACGGTCGGGAACTTGGCGTGTCGCGCAGCCCCTTCTGACCTAGCACGCTTCGGCGCGACTCGCTAGCCACTTCCCAGTCCCCGAGCGTCGACGACCTAAGCCTTTCCGAGCCTCCAGCTCCGCAGAGTGGAGCGACACACTATCCGCTTGCAGGGCATAGCGCGTCGCCGGGGCCGACGCCGCGATACGCTAGGCAAAAGTTCCTGACCGCAGACTCCCACTTGTAGCCGTCGCCCTCCCAGGTGCCACACGCCACCCGCAGGAGGCAGGGCTTTACCCCGGGAGGACGCAGCCCATAGATCGCAGATCTCGTTGGTAGGAGCGAGGGGAAGGGGGGCAGAAGAGGGGCGGAGAGGGAGGAGGAGGAGGACCAGTGTAAATCCAAGAGCCATCAACGATGTTGGGATTAACCCTCCCTCCAAGCTCCCTCCTCACAGGCCCCTACAACGGTTCATTCCCATTGAGGGAACTGCCTCGTTGGAATACAACCGTTTGAAGACCTGGAAGCATGCCAAAACATTGTTCTCGGGACTTCCACGCCACGGATCAACCTGACTGCTGTGTCCTGGCGATCTGGAATCTTGCCAGAACGCCGTTTTGGCGACTTCAGCACCGCGAACCAGCATTACTGTTGCACCCGCCCAATCCTGAACCTTTCCAAAACACCATTTCTGGTACGCTGATCATGGAAATCCGCGAAATTCTTGCAATGTTTGAAAACTAGCCGCCCTCAATCCGTGAAACTCTTGCAAATGTTCAGAACGAATGTGCGCGGCGCTAAGGCGAGAGCCACATTTTGAAAACGACCCGCCTCCAGTCCGTGAAGCTCTTGCAAAGTGTTAAAACGAATGTGCGCGGCGCCAAGGCGAGGGCCACATTTTGAAAACCACCCGCCCTCCATCTGTGAAACTGCTGCCATTGTTTAAGCTTGAGAGTCATAAATGGTGAGGAAATATCAGGCGAAACGCCCGGCCCGAAATTGGCCTCGGGGTGCGACAGGGAGTAGGTATATATATATATATATATATATATATATATATACACGATACGGAAAAGGAATGGAGGAGGAGGAGCAGGAGGAGGAGGAGGAGGTGGAGAGGACCAGGAGACTGTATCCTCGCATCGGAGACAACATTCTTGGAGACGGCAATCATGGTCACTTCCTATTTGCCTCATCCGTCCGATTCTCCCTCCGAATTTCGATCCCCCTCCAACCACGCCCACTCCTCACCGCACCCTTCTTCCCTTTTCCCTACCCTACACATTCCCCTCCCATCTCTCTCGTCTTTCCCTTCCCTTTCCCTTACCATTCCCCCTTTCCGTTACGTGTTTGTTCCCATGCGTAGCAACCCTGGCCGTTTGTGAGCAGGAGCCAGATCAAGCGCCTGCAGTTTCTCGATGTCTCGTGTTACACGTGTTCGTTCTACGCGATGGCGGCACCAGATCGCTTTGCATAGCACACGTAGCTGCGCTCTGCGCGCGGAGCTTGCAGCCCTCGTCCATCAACGCGCCCGTGGCTTGCTGAAGCACAGTGGGAGCGCAGGAAACCATCACTCTCTGGATCAGGTTGGCTTTCTGCTCCTCCAAAGCCAGCTGAGCCCTGCGCCGTGACCATCGGAGGCATTCTCGATTGCCCGCCGCCGGTTGGGATACCGCAAGCACCATCGGAATACAGCCCAGCGAGAATCAGAGTTTGCCCCAGCGACAGCACCAAGCATCCCACTCCCGCACAGCAACAATTTTCTATGACCCTGGCACTCCACACGTGGGGCTGGCTGCTGGAGAGGCCAGTCCTGCATGATTCCCTGTCGTAAAACTGCCCAGTTACCCTTGGAGTCAACGCGGCACCGCATCGACTCCGTCTTCGGTAACGCCGTTTTCGCGATATGCAAATGAGCGGCCTGATCGCAGGTCGTTTCACGAACATTGCGTGGATGCGTGGCAGGCGTTAGAGCGATCGTTGAGGACCGAGCTTGGCGAAATCAGCTGCTGAAGAAGCGCAACGAAAATATGTTGGTTTGGCCCAGGACGCGAGTATGGCCTCCGCTGTGTGTTGCAAGACGGGGAAAGCCACAAGAGCTGCGCGCCGAAAGCGAATGCGTCATGGAGCACGCAGAGCGGGAGTCACGGCGAGCCCCTATCGGGGGAGGCTTGCTCGCACATTCTGCAATCGGTGGGTGTCTGGGATGCTGCATCGACGAAGGTCGGCACCAGCCGTTGCAACGTTTTTCTTGAGGCCGTGCCGGCGCCCCGTGGGAGGTCGAACGGCCTCGGAGCGCACATCATTCACGATTCCCGTGTCCGACTGCACTGGGTTTCTTAACAAGCGTTGGGGGATACCCCCCTGACGGTCAAGCAGTGGCCAAGCGTGCTGGCGTGCCTAGTGGCCTACCAAACAATGTTCTAAGAACCATGTGTGGTTGTCCACGAAATCTTCTTAGAACATTTCTGGCTGGGACTGTCTTGTTTTAGCGCATCGGCTCTACGTTCTGAGAACATTGTTTTTGTTCTTAGGACATTTGGGGGTTCTAAGAACATTTCGTGGTAGGCCTATAGGAATACCGGGACGGTTGGTCCCTGCTCAAGACGGGGGTCAACCTCGCCTCGTCGTCGTGCCGCGACGGGTGTCGGAGCGCCTTCGGCGCGCGGTGGCTGCCCGCGACGGGGGTCGATGTGGGGCTGTCGGCGGGGGTGACGCCCCCCCGACGCTTATTGAGAAACTCGGAGTGGAGCAGGAAATGCCATAGGGGCGTGCCGAAATGACAGTGTCGTAGCCATGAAGGTGTTGCTCACGTGCATCTCTACGCGTCCCAGAAGAATGTCAGAGAAGAAGTGTGTGAGAGGTGCCAAGGTTTCCGCAGCCCTGCGGGCGCATCTCACTCGTGTTTTTGCATGTCCGGGAGCTGTCACATGCGTGGGCCTAGCGTTGGGAGCACGTTTCACTCGTATTCTTCGCGTCCCAGGAGAATGGGCCGTCGGAGTGCGCGAGGCCGCTCCTCGCATGCCTTCGCGCATGCTTCTCATCCCCCATGGCATCCTCATCTGATTACCTACCCTCGACGGCTAGCACGGCGAGGGACCGCAGGGGGCCTGCCGAATTCCATCGCGTCGCTCCTTGTATAGTTCGCTCTTGCCTGCGGGCTCGCGAGGGCATTTTTGGAGCCTCGTGGGGCCTCCTGGTGGCCTCTTGGGGCCTCTTCGGGGGTCTTGGGGGCCCCTGTGGGGGCCAACTGGCAATCGCGGAGGCAATTGTTGAGGAAATGACCCGACAAGTTAATTCGGATTCTCCCTCTTGGAACCTCTCGGCAGCCTCTGGAGCCGTCGTGGGGGGCCTCTTGTGCCGTCTTGGGGCCTTCTTGGGCAGTTTTGGGGCAGTCCTGGGAGCCTCTTGAGCTGTCTTGGGCCGATCTTGAGGCCTCTTGGGCTGTCTGCGGCAATCGGAAGCTCGGAAAGGCAGTGAAATCAACATCCATCAAAAACCTTATGGAAACTAATGAAACCGAGCCTCTGGGAGCTTTCTTGGGGCTGTCTGGAACCATCTTGATGGTATCCTGCGGCATTATGGAGTTCTTCGGGCCATCTTGTGGCGTCCCACGCATTCCTCTCGGCTATTGGGCCCCGTTGGAGCTCGCTTGGGTCGCTCCTTGGGCGATATTGAGTGCAGAAGACCAGCCCCGGGAGCTCTGGCATCCATGACCCGAGAAGGCCAGAGTAGTTTTCGTCCAGGGACCCCCAGGGGCCGCCCCGCGCGCTCAACGACGAACAAACGTAAACCTCGTACCGAAGATTCTGGAACGCCTTTGGCCCGTTGTGCCCGCGAATTTCGCGAATGCTGCGATGTCTGAAGAACCCAACACAGTGGAGAGCAGCTGCAGACGCGATCTCACGCCCTGAAGGGGCAAGCGACCACATGTAGCATACTTCCTTGTTTTTCGCGCCGGGTCGCCCTGGCAGGTAACATAAGCAACACCATGCATGACAAATGTGTTATCCTCTTCCTCCTTCCTGCTTCCGCTGCCCGCCTTTTCTCCTTGATCTCGCGCCGAGCATTGCTAGACGCATGTTTTTGCCAACGCGCCTAGTGGCGTATGGCTTTTTCGTTCGTTCGTTCGTTCCTGCTGCTCCTATTCCTGAGGAGCGGGTCCAGGACGCTCGTGATGCCCAATTTCGAGAAGATTCGGATCTGCGCTGGTGCCCTCCAATCTCGGGCGTGTGGTAATTAATTTGCCAGAGGGCTGGGCTTAACTACAAGTTCATACTCGATGGGCGCCAACAATGGGGGAACACACACTTGGTGAAGAAAGGTGCACGTTTCCAGTACATGTTGGGCACAGGGTGGCAGCTCACAATGCCATCAGGCCCCCTTCAGAATAGTTGCAATGCAGCACTCGCGCAACCCCTGGTTCAAAGTGCCTCCTGCGAACTTCAACCTTATACTGTCCACAGCTGTTACCCCTGTCGCTGGGGATGGTATACCGCCAGCTTTTCCTTAGGTCCTCTGCCAGACGTGCGCCACGGCTATGGCGGTCGCACGCTCTGGGGGCGGGGAGGACTGCCAGCTGACTGTTAATGGCCATATGATCGTGGTGTGCGATTGTATGCTTGCGGCCAGGCTCAAGAAGTTGAGCGAGGCGTTTCTTCTCAGGGGGAGTGATCCTGGGGTGTAACGGGGGTGGTTGTCGGGCTAGGGTTCTCGTGCGTTCTTCAACAGTCTCAATATCGGAACAAATCTTGCATTACTATCACATTGGAAACCTTCGCAGTTGGTGAACCGAGCTGTCTTTTACGTCCCGCGCCACCGACGAGGCGAACAGAAGGAGTACCAGGAGAAAGGTGGGAGGGGGGGGTCCCCCCAAAGCGGGAGGGGCGGGGGAGGAAATCGATGACGACGTTGAGGGGAAGGAGGAGGAGGAGGAGGAAGAGGAGGAGGAATAAGAAGAAGAAGAGGAGGAGCAGCAGCAGCAGAAGCAGCTTCGCCACGCTCCTCCGCGCGCTGCCGAGAGCCTCTCGGCAGCTTGCCGCCCACTTGCCGCAAGCTGTCATCGACCTAGGATACGAGCTCTCCGGCATGCTCGCTGTTGCCAGGGACTGGTTTAGCCGGTTGGCGGCGACTTGGCTGTTCCTCTATACGTGGGGAATGCCGCAGGCGGAGCTTGATGCGCAAACAGGTGCCCACACGTTTTCGCTCGAGCACACGCGCAGCCTTGCGAGACCGCCATAAATTGTGGATGTCATGCTTCGAGCGGCCGATACCGTGCTCTCTGCAGGGACGCTTGGGCAGCGCAAGCACTGACTGTCTGGAGGCGGTCCGGACAGTGGGGTTGATTTGCGGCCAACGCCACCAGGGATTTGGCCCCATGGTCGGACGATGAGTTTTGCATCAATTTCCGCCAGCGTCTTAGAATGCCGCTCTTCGGCGCTGCACGTTTCTGCCAGCACCGTACGCGTGCTGGAAGGGTCTGTGGTCACGCACTGGATAAGCTTGGAGACCACGCGATCTCCTGCATGATCGGTGAGACCCACAATCGTCTGCATGATGGATTCCGCGACGAGCTCACGACGTACGCTCACACAGCCGGCCTTGCAACCACACGCGAGGTCGTGTTTTCAGAGCTGGCCATTGCAACCATGTGCGAGCCGCGCGTGGACTTCCAGCGCTGGGGCCACTGGTCGCTCCCAGTTTTTCACGGTGACGCCATGGTCGTCAGCGTGACCAACTGCCGCGGCCATTCGGCGACTGCTCGTTCTGTCGCGATTGCTGCCGAGGCTGCGACAGCAAGGAAGTATTGAGCTCGTGGCGGCACCACGCGCAGAGCTGTGCACTCAACTTCGGCGGACTGCATGGGCCGCAGCTGTCGCGTCTGCTGCAGCAGCTGGCAAGCCTCACCCGGCACCAAAGCCATCTCCGTGGCACGGGCTGTGCACAGTCACCGGTCCGGGATTGGCAGCAGCCGATTGCCGTCTTTTTGGGGCGAGCCATTGCGGTGCTCGTCTCCACTTCTACCGCACCAGCGTCTCAATAGCGGATCGGTGGTGCACCGCTCCTTGTACAGGCGGTGCACGTCGGAGCTCGTCCGCACAGATGAGTCCAAAGCAGGAGGGGCAGCGGGAGGAGCAGGAACAGGGGAGCGGCAGGAGTCGGAGCAGGAATTGCAGCCGGAGCAGCACCAACAGGAGGAGAGAGCGGCCGGAGGTGCCGCAAAGCCCGAGTCCTCCAGTGCGGCCTTCCTCCTCGCCTGGCGACGACGCGGGCGGCTCAGCTGAGGGTTCGGCCGCTCTTGCCTCCTCGTTCTCGTGTTCCTCCTCGAGTCTTCTTTCTCTCTCCCTGCGTTCGCGCGTCCTCCTTCCCATCCCCATGTCCTCTTCCTGATGAGGAGGGGAAGAAGGAGTTCCATGGAAGGTCCACGGCAACCACAAAGCCGCAGCAAGGTGTTGAGGAGGGGAAGGATGAGGAGGAGGAGGGGAACGATGAAGGAGGAGGAGGAGGAGGAGGAGGGGCACTGAGGAGGAACAGGAAGAAGAAGGGGGTAAGAAGAAATGGCCAGTGCAAACCCAAGACTCATCAACGATGTTGGAGTAAATCGTCCCTCCGAGCTCCCTCTTCATAGGCCCCATAGAAGGGTTCATTTCCACTGACGAAAATGCCCCGTTAGGAGGCAACCATCTGAAGATCTTGAAGCGTGCGACCTTGAATTGTGCCAGAGCATCATCCCTCGGATTCAAAACCGCGAATCAACGTAATTGTTGCGCCCTGATAGCCCTGAATCGCTCGAACACATTATTCTTCGCACGCTAACCTGTCAATTCCGTGAAACCCTTGCAAATGTTATAAGGATTGTGCGCGGCGCCGAGAGCCACATCTTGAAAAGGAGCCGCCCTCTATCCGTGAAACTCTTGCAGATTTGAAAACAAATGCGCGCGATGCTCAGGCGAGACTCACATGTTGAAAACCACCCGCCATCAATCCGTAAAACGATTGCAAAATTTGAAGTGGAATGCGTGCGGCGCCAAGGCGAGAGCCGCATGCCCTCACTCAGTCCGTGAAGCTCTTGCACATGTTTGAAACGAACGAGCGCGGCCCATAGCCGAGAACCACGTGTCGGAAGCGGCCCGCCCTCCATCCGTGAAGCTTCACGATCAGAAATGGTAAGGAAGTCTCAGGCGAAACGCCCGGCCCGCCCTTCCGACTGGCTTCGTGGTGTGACACGGAGGAGTCATTTAGAAGGAAAAGGTATGGAGGAGAAGGAGGAGGAGGAACAGACGGATCTGGACGAGGATGGGAAGGAGCGGTTTGAGGAGCAGGGGCACTAAGAACAAGCAGGAAGACGAGAAGGAGGAGCAGGAGGAGGATGAGGAGGAGCAGGAGGAGAAGAAGGGACACTGAGAAGAAGCAGGAAGAGGAGGAGGAGGAGGAGGAGACGGAGAAGCAGCGGCAGGAGCGGAGGCGGTGGCGGAGTTGCGCGTGGATTCTGGGCAGCTCGGAACCAGACAGAGCGATGAGGTGGGTGCCCAATTTTCTAGCGGTTCTGGCTCCAATAAGTGCGCCTGTCTGGGCGTTCCTTGCCGAAGGCGCCAATCCAGGCGACCATATGGGGTCGGAGTGGGTCGGGTCCGACTATCGCGCCGCCGCGCCGACGCATCGGCGATGCAGCGTGGTCTTCTGACCCCACTTGGGCGGCCTCCAGCCGAGGAAGCAGCGAGCTCATCCAAAGCATCAGACGGCACCTCGCGCCGAGTCTTCTTCTTCCGAAATCGAGGCCTGTGTCATTGGAAGGGTCTTGGGCCGTCCGCTCAAGAGCTCCACAGGGGGGCTGGCCCGAATCACTGCTTAACGTTACATCTGCGGCCCCTGCGGTGCTTGATGGTGATATATTCCAGTTCGGCACATCCTGGGTGCACGCGAATGACCAGTTTCATCTGGCTTGAATTGTACATATTCTGCAGATTGCCATACGGGACGCCCTCTTCGAGTTCATCGATCGCAGGGCCGCCTCTCGAATCAGAACGTGCGGTATTGGCCGCAGGGAAGCATTTGATCTTGTGCAGGTCGTCTGGCCGAAGGTGTTATGAACTGTTGGCTCACTGATATGAATCCCGTTTGGTCTTGGCCGCCCTTCTCGTTACCATTATTGCCTTTATTGCGGTCGGCCTCAGCACGCCAGACGCCCTGCGCTGTCGTGCTGTCAGTCGCCACCCAGAGGCACATGAATTCAGCGGCCATGATCATTTCTATTGTCTTTTCGTTGCAAGTCTTGAGGGTCGACAACAGCTTGCGTAGCACTTCCGAATCACCGGGGCTGCCAAATCCGCCCTTCTCATGCAGGGGTTCGTCTGCATTCCCACCCAAGAGCGATGCCCATATCACGTCTGCCATGCTACTCGCTTCGGAAATCTCGAATGCGTCCAGTAGGTGCGAAGCTAAATGCCACAGCCATGGAGTGGCGGACCCAAACTGCATGTCGCAAAAACATGGCATGAATGCGGAGGAGTTCGGATAATATCATTACATGGCATTCACACTGTCCCCTCGGCTTTCGCAGAAAGTGCGTTGCAGACGTCTTCGCGGATTGCGCGGGTATCGTTAACAGATGCGCGCAGGGCCTGGTACATGCAACATTGATTCGTGTTGGCCGGCGCCGCAGCAAGTGTTTGCTTCAAACCTGGAAGGTGTCGGATGCATCCGCATCGGCACTCTGGAATTGACTGCGACACATTGCACTGCACACGCAAGCCCACACTCCAAGTCATCCACCCCGTCCTCCCGCAAAACTGGACCGTCGGATGCCCCTCGCTCCCCATGTCGCTGCTCGTGTTGCTGCTGGTGAGGCTGCTGCAGTGGAAGAGGAGCCGAGATGGAGAAGAAACGAGCTGCTCCGTCATGACACGTCAGATGACGAAATCTCCGCATTCTGTCGTAGAAGTTTTGGCCCGTACACGAACAAATGAAGTAATTGCAGCGGTCGTCCAGGACATTCCGAGATGTGGTGTCTTCTGGATGCGAACGCGAGGGCCCACATGTACCCGACCCATCATAGGGCCCCATCTTTCGTCATACGACCAGCGTCGAGTGTAGGTGTTGCATATCTGGGCGAATGAAAACGGCAATGAGTCATTTGTATTCACCAGGGTGCCACAATTACGTTGACACATCTCGTTGCGGCGTCGATTGAGAGACACTCGACAGACACGAGGTCGAATTGTTAGCTCGATTCGTCAGGTTGAATAGCTCGTGATCTTGGGCTTGCTTCCTCAATTCCGTCAGAGCAGGTGCAAGCAGGGGCAAGCCGAAGCTGACATTGTGTCCCCCAAACAGTGCTTGCACTTAGGGCTTCTCAGTTCTCTTCTGAGGAAGTGTATCCAGATGCGGCCCCGGCGGCCCAGTTCCCGCCCGTCGCCGCACGATCTTCCTAGCACAAGGCCCGTGCGCGGCCCTGGCGGCCCCGTTCCCGCCCGTCGCCGCCGCCCAGTTGCGCTTCCCCCGCGCTGCACTGCAACCGCACTGCGTTGCAGTCGCATTGCGCCGCATTTCTTGGCATCGCTGCGCATTGCAAATCGCAGCGCGCTGCATTGCAGTCGCGCTGCTTTGCGTGGCCTTACGTTGCCTCGCATGGTTTTGCGTTGCTTCGGATTGCCTCGTATTGCTTTGCATTGCTTCGAATTGGCTTGCATTACTTGAAGTAGCTTTACATTGGTTTGCACTGCTCTGCAATGGTTTACGTTGCCTTGCGTTCCTTCGCGGTGCTTTACATGGTTTTGCATTGAGTTATTTTGCAATGCATTGATGTGCATTGCCTTGCATTGCTTTGTATTGGCTTGTGTTGCTTCGCATTCCGTTGCATTGCTTCGCATTGTAGTTGTTTGCATTATTCGGCATTGGTTTGCATTGTTGTGCATTGTTGCGCATTGTTGTACATTGATTCGCATTGCTTTACATTGTTTCGCATTGAGATACATTTCGTTGCATTGTTTTGCATTGCATTGCTATGCGTTGGGATGCACTGTTTTGAATTGGGTTGTATTGTACGACATGTAAGGCACCGCCTAGACTGCACCGCATTGATTTCACCACCTACATTGCACCGCATGGGTGGAAATGCATCAAAGTTTGGGGTCCGCGCTGTCCATTTTTGTGATGCTCCAGAGTTGACAGATCGCCCTCGGAACCACAATCGTTGAGTTGGGCATGCGGCCACCTCTTGCTACGATCACACTATCTCAGGAGGCCTTTGCATGAACCCTCGACGTCCGCATACACATTGATGTCGTCCACGACTCGCCCTCACCCCCTCCCCGCCAGAGGGCGCACTGGCCAGCCCTGCAATAGGTGAGCCCGTGCACTGAACCTTGGCTCTCTGGGGAAGGAGGAAGGGCGGGGACGGTCCTGTGGCAGAACAGCTTGCTGACTCGCCAGCTCCATTTCATCTCGGCTGCATCGTGGAATTGGGCTAAGATTACCGTGGCAGAAAACAAAATAATCTGGCGCGACCCCAATCAGGGGATGTCCTTTTGAAAGTGATCCTGGGGGCGGGGAGCATGAGGAACTTGGGGAATCCGAGGAACCCGGGAAACCGCAGGAATCTCCGAGGGACGGGCAACGCAATAATACGAGGCACCGGGGGTGGGGAACCCCGGGAGCCCGATGCACCTCCGAGGAACAGGCACAGTAAGAATATTAGGCACCAACTTTTCAAAAACCAATGATCCTGGCGACGGACCCAACCGTATGCAATTGTGAGTACCGCGGTTGTGAGCCCCGCTTTCGGTGGAGCTCCTTGGGGGGCCACGAAACGCGTGAGGGGTATGCCGAAATGGGCGCGGTGGCGCCATGCGAACCTGCCTGTAGGGCCTTCGGTGGAGCCCCCTGTGGGGCCACGAAACGCGTGAGGGGTGTTTCGAAATGGGTGCGGTGGCGCCATGCGAACCCTGCCGCCCGGGCCTTCGGTGGAGCTCCTTGTGGGGCCACGAAACGTTTGAGGGGTGCGCCGAAATGTGTGCGGTGGCGCCATGCGAACCCTGCCACTGGGGCCTTCGGTGGAGCTCCCCATGGGGCCACGAAACGTGTGAGAGGTGCGCCGGAAATGAGGTGGGGCCGCCATGCGAATTTTGTCATTGGGGCTTTCGGTGGAGCTCCCTATGGGGCCACGAAGCGTGTGAGGGGTGCGCCGAAGTGGGGCGGGGCCGCCATGCGAACTTTGCCACTGGGGCATTCGGTGGAGCTCCCCATGGGGCCACGAAACGTGTGAGAGCTGCGCGGAAATGGGTCGGGGCCGGCATGCAGACTTTGCCATTGGGGCCTTCGGTGGAGCTCCTTACAGGGCAACGAAACGTGTGAGGAGTGCGCCGAAATGAGGCAAGACCGCCATGCGAACTTTGTCGTTGGGGCCTTCGGTGGAGCTCCCTATCGGGCCACGAAACGTGTGAGGGGTGCGCCGAAATTGGGCTGGGCCGCCATGCGAACTTTGCCACTGAGGCTTTCGGTGGAGCTCCATATGGGGCCACAAAACGTGTAAGGGGTGTGCCGAAACAGATTCATGCGGAGGGCAGAGGCATGGAAGGGAGGAGGGCGAGGGGGAAGGAAGGAAGGAAGGAGGAGGGACGCGGGGCGCTGTCTCTCCAAAACGAGGGCCCGACACCACAGGATGGTTGGGAAGTGAGAACCTCGCAGGCAAGCCTCATGGTGGCAAGAGCGCCCCCTCCCCGCCGATCTCGTCGACGATCTTCCCGTGGCAGGGGTCGAGCCCCCCCCTCCTGGAGCCCGCGCGCCCCCGCGTGCCGAGACCTTGACCGCCGACGAGGACGGGCCCGAATCCGCCGGGGACGCAGAGGACGCTGCTGGCGAGCCCCCGTGCGCGCAGGCGGCGGACGTGCTCCGCTGCGACTTCACCGCCACGCCGCTGCAGGCCCCCGGAGGGCCCCAGATCTGTTGCGATCCGATTCGGCGGCGAGCGAGGGGGGGGAGGTGAGAAGGGGCGGGCCTTCTCAGATTTCTCGGAAGCTCCCTGACCTTCTGACAAGTTTCCAGAGCCTTCTGAGAAGGCCTTCTCCTTCTCACTTCCCCCCTCGCTCGCCGTAGACCGATGGTTGCAACCCCGGCGCGTGATCCCCTGGAGCATCAGAGACGGATCTGGGGCGGAAAGCTACCCCTGGGGGAGGGGGAAAGGGCCTCTCCAGGGCCGCGGGGTGGAAAAAAAGACATCGCCGGATGACAGGAGCGGGAGGAGGAGAGATGGCCCAGCCCCCCTTTGACCTCGGGCACGAGACCGCTTCACCGGAGGGCCGCTTCGCCACGGGCCGCTCCACCCCGGGACCGCTTCGCTCGCGGGCCGCTTCGCGGGCGGACCGCTCTGATGGCGGGCCCGCAGAGGTCGGGGGTGGCGAGCGGTCCTTGTCGCGCGGGCCAGGCGGGCGGACCCTGACGGGCGGTCGGACTGCACATCAGAGCGAGCGGGCGGGCGGGCCCTAAGGGGCGAGTCGGGCAGGGGGGAGCGGGTCGGGCTGGCCGAGGCGGTCCGCCAGCGAGGCGGTCCGCGGGCGAAGCGGTTCTACCCTCCGTCGCCTTCCTCCTCCTCCCCGTTGTCCTCCTTCTCCTCCCCCCCTGCTCCTCCTCCCCCTCCCCCTCCTCCTCCTCCTCCTCCTCCTCCTCCTCCTCCTCCTCCTCCTCCTCCTCCCCCTCCTCCTCCTCCTCCTCCTCCCTCCTCCTCCTCCCCTCCTCCTCCTCCTCCTCCTCCTCCTCCCCCTCCTCCTCCTCCTCCTCCTCCTCTTTCTCCTACTCCTACTCCTCCTCCTCCTCCTCCTCCTCCTCCTCCTCCTCCTCCTCCTCCTCATCATCATCATCATCATCATCAGCATCATCAGCATCATCATCATCATCCTCCTCCTCCGTAGCCACTTTGGCTCAAGACTATGGCTTTGGGGGCTTCCAGCCCCAAGGCATTCAGGGATACCGCTAGTCCGCGGCAGGCAAGGCAGTTCTGCCTGGCATCCCTTCTTCTCATCCTTCACTGGGGGATTTGGGTTCCCCCACTCAGCCCCGCACGCGAATTCACACACAGTCATTTTGTCTGTCGGATGTCGACGCATGGCGGTGCTGGAGTCATCAAAGCCGGCAAGGCGAAGGTTGTCACTCCTCGTGGGCAGCGTGCTGCTCGTGCTTCGCGTGGTGCTGTTTGTCCTACTCCCACCGCTCCTCCTGCTATCACAGACATGGCTGCCGAGGACAGCGACGGGGAGGTCTCCATGGGTGAGCTCTCTGAGGAGCACATCCGCGCGCTTTGCACCAGCATTGTGTCTGACCAGCTCCAGGCGCTCAAGAAGGATGTTGACACGTGGTCGCCCAGTCCGTATCGGAGGCCATATCTAGCGAGTCTGAGACCATTGCAAATTCCTTCAAGGCTCACTTCGAGCAGTGTTTCCAGAAGTGCCAGGCCGAGATGGCGTCGCTCCCGAAGCGACTGGACAAGCAGATTCAGGATACTCTCAATCCGCGACTGGAAGAGCTTCGTCGTGAGTTCACGCAGAAGTACGATTCCCTCTCGTCCATCATCGCGTCCGTGGACACGAAGGTCGAGGCCCACTCGGAAGATATCGTCGCACTTCAGGAGAGCGCCAAGCTGTTGCAGGAGGCCCTGGTCACGGCCAACCAGAAGCCCAACAAGCCCATCGTCCTCTCGCCGTCGTTCGAGCGCGAGGTGGACTACTCGATCATCAAGGTCAACGCGGGCAAGCTCGCATCGAAGGCCAAGGTGCAGGAGGTGCTGCAGCCATGGCTTGTGGATGCTGGCTTCGCAGACGACTGGTGGTCCATTGAATGCCGTGATGTCCTCTCACGGGTGTTCATCATTCGCGTCGTTGGTGGTGAAGGCCTTGCGGCTCGCCGCGTCGCCAAAGCTCTCTCCATGCTCCGCGTGGACGGGCAGTGGCGCCAGTTCGAAGTGGATACGCACAGTGGTGAGGGAGTCACCAAGTTACATGTTAGCGGGGACAAGAACCCGCGCACTATCAAGCTCGAGACCACGGGACGCAAGGTCAGGTCGCTCCTGGCCCCTGCTGTGGGAGCTGCCCACCGCCTCTTCTTCGACCGTGAGAGGGGTTGGCTGTCCGTGGGGTGGGGCCCGCTCCTCAAGCTGGAAGTGTTCGAGGGCCGTACACCGACGAAGGTGCACTGGAACGCCGCCACGCTCACCAAGCTCGGCCTCGACAAGCAGGTGCTCGCCACCGCGATCAGCAGCGCTGTTGAGCCAGACGCTGAGCCGCAGTGGTGCCTTTAGTAGGTTCGCACGCCTCTTTGCAGTCTGTCCTCTGCCCTCTCTCCAGAATGCAGAGGCGCTGGGTGGTCTTCGCTTTAACCCCTGGAATTGTAGGGCTTTGCTCCAGTATGCAGGTAAACATGTTTCAGTGAAGTTGGGCCATTTGAAGCGTCTGTGCTTAGGCTCTTCGATTTCGGCAATTCAGGAGGTTAGACCTGATAAAATCCAGCGAACTAGCTTTTTCCAGAAGGCTCTCCCTGGGGCTCTGATATTTTCGAGCTTCTGCGGGGAGGATCCCGCTGAGCGCATCCGAGGTGGGGTAGCCACGGTCGCGCCTGGCGTGATCAAAAATGGTCAGCCCTCGCCGCCCGATGGCGTCACCGCCGCCCCCCGCTCGCATGTAGCTGGCCGAGTTTTGAGAGCTTGCTTTTCGGATGGGGATACCACTCTCGTCCATTGGAATGTACACAACCATGATTCAACCGTTAATGAAATTCGGGATGTGCGCGGTGCGATTTCCCAGGATCGCGCGTTGTCTGAGGCCCCCCTTGAAAGCTTTGTAGTGATAGCGCACGGTGATTTCAACTTTGCCGCTGAGGAAAAGTTGAGCTTCTCGCAGCCATATGAGGCCCAGCGGGTCCCCAGGCCCTTGCACGCCCGCGCCCCTGTCTGGCCCCCCACACTCGATTCCCTCGTTGAGGTCACATCTGCGGCTGCGACGCATTACGATGCCAAGGCCGATGATGTCGCCGCTATTGATCGATTCTGGTGCTCGTGGCCTGGCTGGGCTCTGACGCAGATGACGATCACGCCCAAAGTGGAGGGAGCGCCTGGGGTTTTGTCGAGACAGAAGATCAGTGACCATGCGGCCCACGTTGTCTTGTTTCGTCAGCGTCGTCCTCCCGCAGTCGAGGAACGTCCCATTCCCAAGCATATATGTATGTCGGCTGAGTTCAAATCGATGTTGAAGAGTTCCCTGGAGGCTGGAGAGAGAAAAAAAAAACAAAAAAAAAAAAAAAAAAAAAAAAAAAAAAAAAAAAAAAAAAAAAAAAAAAAAAAAAAAAAAAAAAAAAAAAAAAAAAAAAAAAAAAAAAAAAAATGAGAACATGAGCTCCGCCCCGGGACTTGAGAGATACAAGTATCTGATGTCAGAGGCCAGCCGTGAGGCTCGTGATCGTATCACGTTCCGCCGTCCGCACGACCCTCGCACTCCCTTGCTGGTGGCTCGTGCCACATCGCGCGCAGTGCGGAGACAAGATGTCTAGGCTGCGGAGCGGCTTCTGGGATCTCACCCTGCTGCGGCTGATTTTCTCGAAGTGCATGGCTCTCGGGTTGAGCTTGCGCACGCGGCATCCTTCATGCAGTGGTGCAATCTGCAGCAGCTCAATGCCGCGAAGTTGGATCGAGAGCAACTTCGTGCTCGTCTTGATGCTCAGGATGGAGGAGGTGATCTGAATGGAGGAGGGGCGTCAGCTTCTCGGATCCGCCGTCGTCTACTGGCCCTGGAACGTCGTGCTCGTATCTGGGCCCCTTTCGCGCGTCGACTCGTTCTTCGGGATGTCCTGGTCGATGGAGCCCCTGTGGGTGGCCCTGAAGCTCGGCGCAAAGCTCTCGGGGATCATTGGGGCAACATCTTCGCTCGCAAGTCGTGGCCGCGTGCGGCTGCTGAAAAATACGTGGATAAGTTCGCCCAGCCCGTCGGCTTTTCGTCGCGCGCGCCCCCTAACCTCTATGTGATGAAGAAGGTTCTGGCACGTGCCACGGATTCTGCCCCTGGATGCGACCGTCTTTGCTACGCTGCGTGGGCAGCGAGCCCGCACGGAGTGGAACTCTTGCACGACGCGCTGCTCGACAAGTTCTGCGGTTTCGCCCCCTTTGCCAGCGAGAGCAAGACACTGCAGGCCTTTTTACCGAAAGGAGAATTCGATGGTGACACACAGGCTGGGGAATTCTCCAGGGATGTCAATGCCGCCAGGGTCCTGGGCCTTAGGAACACGAGCTATAAGATCATCACCGCCTCGGCAACTATGCGATTCGGAAACCTCTGGATGCTTTTGCGCCACCTTCGCAGCGAGGTTATATGAGAGGCCGCAATTTTGCAATGAATGTTGCTGAAGTTGATGCCGTTGCCCGAGCGTACTCGTGCCGACCTGAAGCTGATGAAGAATGCCCAATCTTATATGCTCTGGACTATGGACACGCCTTCCCAAGTCTGTCTCAGCAGTATCTATATATTGTGCTCCAGCGTATGGGTTGCCCTGCTGCTCTGCTCATGCTCGTACATATCCTGTGCACTGCCATCGATGGGGACCATGTCATGCCGTGGGACAATGGTTTCTGCTGTCTGGATTCGGTTTGGGATTATCCAGGGTGACGCTTTGTCTGGATCGCTTTTTGCTGTTGCTCTTACTCCTACTCTTCATGACTTGCATGTGTCCTTGGAGAGGGGGAGGATGGGGATTAGCAGAGCTTGTGCTGATGACATTGGGGGAGTACTTAAACGGCTTCAGAGTTTGCGGACGCTTGCCAGAATCATGGGAGTCTCGGAGCGGGTCGCACACCTCGCTCTCAAGCCGCCCAAGTGTTTCTTGGCGCCTGTCGCCTCTGCCTTTACGCCCGCGCTGCAAGGGAGAGTTGCACAATATCTTAGGCTTTACCTCCCGCGGTGGACGTCCTGCCAGGTGGCGTCGAAGCTGTTCTACTTGGGTATGTTCGTGGGACCTGGTGCCACTCTCGAGGACTCTTGGAAGGGGCCCTGCAAAAAGTACCAGTCTAGGGCTAAAGCGATTGGCCAGGGTGTGCAGGCTACGTCTGTCTCGGGAGTGGTATGCCAAACTCGTGCTGTGCCTACGCTGAGTTATGTTGCTCAATATCTTCCTCCGCCCCGCCGTCTGTTCGACCTGGAGTTAGGTGCCCTCGCCTCCGCGCTCCGCATCCCGATTGGCACGTTCAGCACTGTTGCCTGGTATTTCCTGCGTGAGTGGAATGGGCCAAAGGTCAACACACTTCTGTCACTGTGTACGGCCACGCGTGTGCGCATGGCCCTGGATACTGTTCCTGAGTTTCAACGTGTGCTTCGATGGCTTGACCGGTGCACCAATGATGATGCTGAGAATCGGGACCATTGTCGCCTCACTGTTCTTCCTCGGTCGCGTCGATACCCTGATCATTGGCAGTGTCGAGCATTCGCTGAAGTCTTGGACGATGCGAAAAATGGCACACACAGTCCCGCTAGTCACCGTGCCGTTGTTGCCGCGCGTGCGGCCCAGACTGCAGTCCCTCGGCAAAAAGTGCAGCGTGCTGCCCTACATGCATGCTACCCGTTGCTGCCAGCCTCGACCCTGCCTGACCTGTTCATAAAGAGGTTGAAGAAATGGTGGCCCTCTCGCTCGTCTGAGATTGATGCTGTGAACCTTGAGCCTACGCGGCTTCTCTTGAAAACAGTGCCGCCGTCCTGGGCCTGGGCTTGGCTGCGCACGGCCGCAGGAGGATGGATGACAACTCATCGGATTCTGAGTGAGCGTGGACAAAGCATGTGTATACTAGGCTGCACTGACTGCCCCGATAGACAACTCCATTATGCGACCTGCCCTCGCTTAGCCTCTGTTATCTCTCCTGTCCTTCAGAATCGCGTTTTGGCCTCAGACCCACTCACACGCTGGGGGATAACGCACTGCACCATCCATGTGTTAGAAGAACTATATATAGCCGTGCACATTTATCACACTTTGCGTTGCCTCCCCCCCCTCGCTTGCCCAGGCGCCGTCTAACTGGACATCGGCTGCCCGTGCGGCGTTTCGCGATCTCAGGTTAACCCGACCTGATCGCGGAGGCGGTGGTGCAGGCCTTTAGGATGGGACGTCGTCGTCGTCGTCGTACGCTTCGCTCCTCCTCCTCCTCCTCCTCCTCCTCCTCCTCCTCCTCCTCCTCCTCCTCCTCCTCCTCCTCCTCCTCCTCCTCCTCCTCCTCTCCCTTCTCCTCCTCCTCCTCCTCCCTGGGAGGCACGGGAGGACGAGAAGAGGCGGCGGAGGCACACGGGGAGAAGGGCTGCGAGGACGACCAGGTGGAGCAGGAGGCCGAGAAGGAGTAGGAGGAGGAAAAGGAGGAGGAGGTGACGAGCAGGAGAAGCAGGACGAGGAGAAAGACCGCGACGATGACGACGACGACGACGAAGAGACCTGTCCTGGCAGGTGCTCAGGATCCTGTGCGAGCTCTCTCCGCCCGAGGGCCTGGCGAAGGCGCTCGGCATCCCCGCCGGCGCACGCGAATGGCGTGCGCTCTCTGGAGCGGGATGGGTGGTTGGACGGGGGGAGGCGTGTATTGTGTGTGTGTTTGATGTGCGCGTTGTGTGGACGCCCTCAGGGCAGGTCCAGCCCGTTGCGCGTGCTGCCCCTCGGGCCTCCAGAACTCACCGAGCGCCGGAGACGACCCAGAGGCCGAAGAGGATAACACAAATGCTGCCTTCAGACCCCCACTGCCACGAAACGAAAGATAACCTTCACTTTATTTCACAAGTAGCACAGTTGCTTGAGCAATGGTAGTCATTCTTCCTCAGCTATCCCCGCCTGGAAAATAAGAACCTTGAAAGCGATGACGTTCCGGATAGAAAGGAGGGGGATGAGGAAGATGAGGAGGAGGAGGAAGAGGAGGAGGAGGATGAGGAGGGGGAGGACGAGGACAGGTTCGCCAGCGCCTGGACGGTTTCGTCGGTGGTTCAACCCGCGCGGCCGACACCATCTTTGTAAACACCGATAGCCATAAAAAAATATGTATAACCCCCCCGTTATCTTAGCACCGCATTAGGAAAATAAATTCCCGTGGGTGATCTTAGCGGAATGATGTTTTCCCCACCCCACCCCACCCACCCCCAAAAAAAACGTTCACCCCAGGCGTGTTTTCAAAATCTAGTTTTCGGTTTTGGCGCCGCGCACACTCACTGGTAAAATGTCCGAGAGGTTCACGGATTGACGGCGGAACGGTTTCACAATCTAGTTCTCGCCTCAGCGCTGCGCGCATTCGCTTTCTCAAATGTGCACTAGTTTCACGGATTGAAGGTGGCCGTTTTTGAATCTAGTTCTCGCCCCAGCGCCGCGCGCATTCGCTTTTTTATAAAAACTACACGAGCTTCGCGGATTGAAGGCGGCTCGGTTTCAAAATCTCGCTCTCGCCCCAGCGCCGCGCGCATTGATTTTTCAATGTGCACGAGCTTCACGGATTGAAGGCGGCCGTATTGTTTGATGTAGTTCTCGCCATAGCGCCGCGCGCACTCGCGTTAAACATTTGCAGGAGCTTCACGGATTGAGGGCGGTTCGGTTTCAAAATCTAATTCTCGCTTCAGCACCGCGCACATTGGTCTTTAAGCATGTGCACGAGCTTCGCGGATTGAGGGCGGCTCGGATTCAAAGTGTAGTTCTCGCTTCAGCGCCGCGATGCATTCGCTTTTGAAAACATTTGCACGAGCTTCACGGATCGAGGGCGGCCCGGATTCAAAATATGGCTCTCGCCTCGGCGCCGCGCACATTCGCTATCAAAATTTGCACAAGTTTCGCGGATTGAGGGCGGTTCGGTTTCGAAATCAAGTTTTCGCTTCAGCGCCGCGCACATTGGTGTTTCAAAATGTGCACGAGCTTCACGGATTGAGGGCGGCTCGGTTTCAAAATCTAGTTTTCGCCGTAGCGCCGCGCACATTCGCTATACTTGTGCACGAGTTTCACGGATTGACGGCGGCTCGGTTTCAGAATCTAGCTCTAGCCTTAACGCCGCGCGCATTCGTTTTGAAAATTGGCAAGAGCTTCACGGATTGAGGGCGTCTCGGTTTCCCGGATTGGGGGCGGCTCGGTTTAACGGATTGAGTAATTGCGCCACGCAATCGTAATAATATAATGCCCGTGGTTTATATGCGACACTAATATGAAATATCCTGAATATCGTCAGTAGGTGTATTCGTGTTAACTAGCACTACTACTTTTCGAAAGGAGCTGGAATGCGAAGCTTCCCTTCTCCCTCTCCGAACCGCACCCGCCCTATGCGATTCTCATTGTCACCCTTAGTGACAAGTTGATTTTCGTCGGCCGTTCTAGGGGGGCGGTCCATCCCAGGGTATCGCGCGCGCCCCGCACGGAGCGATATCTGTAGCACCCGGGAACCGCGAACATAAATATTCCGGTCTACGAGACATCGTAGGAGCGCGGAAAATTAATCAATTGCCGCCATCCGACGAAGCGATGTAATTAGTTCAATGTAGAGTAATAGGAATAACAACCTAAATATTTGTTGAAGCGATAGTAGAAGTAATAGATGTATGGCTAATTGTGCAATGCAATCGTAATAATAATCATGGAGGCTTGAATTTAACATTAGAAAAAATATCCAGAAGACTGTCAGTAGTCGTATTGGTATGAGCTAACATTACGCTAGAATTATTCGAGAGGGGCTTGAATCCGAAGCTTCCTTTCTCACTCTCCGAACCGCCGCCGCCCGATGCGGTTTCTATTGCAATCTTGCATGATAAATTAATGTTCGCCGGCCGTCTAAGGGGGTGGTCCATCCGAGGGTGTCGCGCCCGCCCCGCACGGAGCGTTATCTTCAGCACCCCGGAGCGCGGAAAATATTTGATAGTTAGTGCCCGCCATTCGGCGACGCGGTAGAAGCATTTCTTAGTAGCACTCGGCATAGAATAACAATGTCGCCAGCAAAACTACCAATTATAAGAACCAGATACTTCAGTAGAGCCTCTGATAATTCGGATGTAAGAATAACCGTAGCAACAGTAGTAGTAGTAGTAGTAGTAGTCGTCGTCGTCGTCGTCGTCGTAGTAGTAGTAGTAGTCGTAGTCCTAGTAGTCGTAGTCGTAGTCGTAGTCGTAGTAGTCGTAGTAGTCGTAGTAGTCGTAGTAGTCGTAGTCGTAGTCGTAGTAGTAGTAGTAGTAGTAGTAGTAGTAGTAGTAGTAGTAGTAGTAGTAGTAGTAGTAGTAGTAGTAGTAGTAGTAGCAGTAGCAGTAGCAGTAGCAGTAGCAGTAGCAGTAGCAGTAGCAGTAGCAGTAGCAGTAGTAGTAGTAGTAGTAGTAGTAGTAGTAGTAGTAGTAAGAAGAAGAAGAAGAAGAAGAGTAGTAGGTCCAATCGTAAATGCATTCACTGGAATAGCCGCAGTACTTAACAGGGTGCCTGAAGCCTGTGCTGGCCGAGGTAAGCCTGTGCTGGCGATCTGGTGACCCACGCGCGGGCGGGTCACCCGAAATCTGGTTGGTCACCGTTCAAGGTTCACTCCAGCTTCCAGGCCAGCATGGCGAATTTTCGATTGCGGGAAACTACAGAATTCCCCACGTGCGCCTCCACACGCGCGCGCGAGTGCGATCGGATGACCACGCGCGGGCGGGTCACCCCAAATCCGGTTGATTACCGATAAGGATTCAGTTTCCAGACCACCATGGCGACGCTTCCATTGTGGACAATAGATAATTCCCCACGCGTGCGTCCGCGCGCGCACGCGATCGGGTGACCCACACGCAGGCGGGTCACCCGAAATCCGGTTGGTCGCCGTGACGGGCTTATTTCAGTTTCCAGTTCACCAGGTCAACTTTTTCATTGTGGACACAGAATTCCCAATGCGCGCGTCCGCGCGCGCGCGCGATCGGGTGATCCACGCGCGGGCGGGTCACCCGAAATCCGGTTGGTCACCTTTAAGGGTTCACTTCAGTTTCTAGGCTAACATTCCCCAATCAGAGCTTGCTTCTGTAGGGGTCCTAGCGGGTGCCCGGGTGCCCGGGTGCCCGGGTGGCCGGTGAGGTGCGTGGGCGATTTCGGTGGCCTGGCCCGGGTGCCCCGGTGCCCGGGGGTGCCCGGGTGATCGGGGGTGCCCAATAGCCCTATAGCCCTATAGCCGTACAGCCGTATAGCACTATGGCCCTAGAGCCCTATAGTTCTAGAGCCTTACAGCCCTAGAGCCCTATAGCTCTATAACCCTATAGCCCTATAGCCCTAAGGTTCTACAGCCCCTATAGCCCAATAGCCCTATATCACTATACCCCTATAGCCATATAGCCCATATAGCCCCATCGCCCCAATAAAAATATGATTGGGGCTTTTCTCCGGCATCATGGTATTTTTCAATTGCGGACAACTACAGAAAGAATTCCCCACGCGCGCCTCCGCACGCGGGCGCGAGCGCGATCGGGTGACAACACGCGGGAGGATCACCCGAAATCCGGTTGGTCACCGTTAAGGGCTTATTATACTTTCCAGGCCAGGCCAACATGTCGATTTTTTGTTGAAAACATAACCGAATTTCCCATGCGCGCGTTCGCGCGCGCGCCCGAGCGCAATCGGGTGACCCACGCGCGGGCGGGCCACCCGAAATCGGGTTGGTCACCGTCACGGGCTCACTTTAGTTTTAAGACCAATTAGAGAATTTCCCCACTGTGGGCAGTACAAAGTGCGCCGCGCGCGCGTCCGCGCGCGCGCGATCGAGTGACCCACGCGCTGGCGGGTCACTCGAAATCCGGCTGGTCACCGTTACGGCTTCTTTTCAGTTCCCAAGCCAAGATGGCGATTTACCCGTGGTGGGCATTACAGAACTCTCCACGCGCGCGTCCGCGCTTGCGCGATCGGATGGCCCACGCGCGGGCGGGTCATCCGAAATCTAATTGGTCACCGTTAAGGGCTCATTTCAGTTTCTTTGCCAACATGGCATGGGGTTTGTGTGGCCCATAGGGCTCGTAGAGCTCATACAGCTTATGGGGCTCATAGGGCAGATGGGACTCATCGAGCTCATATGGGGTCAAAGGCTTAAGCGGTGCTCAAGCGCGAGCCACATGTTGAAAACGAGCCGCCCTCCATCCGTGAAGCCCTTGCAACGCTTGCGCAACGAATGCGCGCGGCGCTGAGGCGAAAGCCACATTTTGAAAACGAGCCGCCCTCCATCCGTTAGGTCTTGCAAATGTTTGACATGAATGCGCGCGGCGCTGAGGCGAGAATCACATTTTGAAAACGAGCCGCCCTCCATCCGTGAAACTCTTGCAACGCGTTTACAACGAATGCGCGCGGCGCTGATGCGAAAGCGAGATTTCGAAACCGAGCCGCCTTCCATCCGCGAAACTCGTGCAACGTTTTTTACAACGAATGCGCGCGGCGCTGTGGCGAGAACCACATTTTGACCAACCGCGAAATTCTTCCAACATGTTGAAAACGAATGTGCGCGGCGCTGAGGCGAGAGCAACATTTTGAAAACGAGCCACCTTCCATCCGTGAAGCTCTTGCAACGTTTTTGCAATGAATGCGCGCGGCGCTGAGGTATGAGCCAAATGTTGAAAACGAGCCGCCCTCCATCCGTGAAACTCTCGCAAATGTTGCAGAACGAGTGTGCGCAGCGCTGAGGCGATAGCCACATATTGGAAACCAGCTGCGTTCCGTCCGTGAAACTCTTGCAACGTGTTGACAACGAATGTGCGCGGCGCTGAGGCGAGAGCAACATCTTGAAAACGAGCTGCCCTCCATCCGCGAAACCCTTGCAAGTGAAGACGAGCTGCCCTCCATCCATAATAGTAATCATAATAGTCATAAGATTCGATAATAACAAATAGTAGTATACCCCCTCCCCCCAAAAAAACAAACAATAAACAACAAAAAAACGGGCGGAAAGAGCTGCCCTGGAGAAGGGCAGCAGGCAGGATCGCGCCCGGTGGATAGGCTGTGCGCGGCCCCATCCGACAATGAGCCCGGCGAGAGATTCGGTTGAAGGGTGACGCGCTGGGTTCCAAAGGCCAACGCCGTCGCCCTCTCACGGCGAGTCGCATGAGCTGGGCGGCCACAAGAGGAGAGGAAGGAGGAGAGGAGGGGAACGTCCCCGACATCGATACGCTCGCGCCTTGAAATGAAACGGACGGCCGTGGCCGGTTTCGGCCTCCTGGGGCACTCGCTGGGCCCCAGGACCGTCCGAAAGCGATTCGGGGTGAAAAGTTGGCTTTGGGGAAAGGGTCGGGATTTCCAGGGACCGCGCATGGAAACATCAAGGCATCGCACCTCTGGCAAGGAGAGGGAGGAAGAGGGCAGAGAGGAGGGAGGGCAGCAGCAGCCTCGGCGGCTCGAGCGAGGCCGCCGCCTGGAGAGGCAGGGCAGGCAGCACACTGCACAGAGCGGCCCTCCAGAGCACGGGCTGGCCTGGAGAAGCAGGCCTGGCACCCTGTGGGTGCACTATAGGCCACAGGCAGGTCGTGCGGAGCCCCCGCCGTGGACGCGAGGGGGGCACCGCCACAGCGGCCGGCAGGGCCGGGGGCCCCGCCAGAGACGCAGGGGGGCGCTGTCACAGCTGCCGTCAGGGCCGGGGGTGAAGCCGTTGCCGGGCCGCCCGGGTGCCCGGAAGAGCAGCTGGCGGCGGCACACTAGGTTTCGAGGCGCCCTCGCCGCCGCACGACGGTTGCGGAGCCGGTCCACCGGGCGCCCCCGCCCACAGTGCAGCCTCCGCGCGCATATGCTTTGCAGCTGCGCGCGCTGCGAAGGCTGCGGCAGTGCGCCTCCGGGCGGCCGCAGCAGGGGCGAGGGTGCGCCTCTGGCGCGTCTCGTCGACCTGCCGCTGCACGACGGGCAACACCTCGACCTCTTTTCGGAGCAAGAGCGCTCCAGAGCGTTCCGCAACGCTCTCAGAGCGTTCTGGCGTTCTTTGGAACGGCCGCGGCGCCCGATACATCTTCCAGAGCCGTTGGATCTCGCGGATCGCCGATGCGACCCAGTCCGATGCCGTCCCGCTCCTGGCTTCAACTTGTCCTTCGGCGACTCCCCAGCGATGGGCCACAGAGGTGTTGGTGTGCACCCGGGAGGGTCGAGCAGCCCTGCGCCGCAGTGGAGGCCTCGGACGGCAGAATTTATCATGGCGTTTTGGGCTAGGCGCCGCGCTCGCCCAGGCACTGCGAGAAGCGTCGCGCGTCGACCCAGAGCAACGCTCGGTCTCTGCACAGACAGACAGGATCACAAGGACAAGTAATTTTCCAGGGGGGCCCTTGCGTCCTTGCGTGTTCGGCCCCCGTCTTCGCTGGCCAGCCTCTCAGGGCACCCTTCTGCGCTGGCGGCGTTCAAGGCCTCTACGTCCCTACCGCGCGTCCTTCTGATCCGGCTTGGCTGTGAGACCCTGTCCGTGAAGCTGGCGCGCCAGGAGACGATGGCGTCGGAGCGCGCCCGCAGCGGCTGCGGGCGATCGGCCTCCAGGGGCGGCGCATTTACCCGCGCCGCGTGGCCGAGCTGTCACGTAGCGGGGTGCAGCCTCGACGCCGCGCGTGGCATCAGAAGGGTCTTGTATCGCATGGCAGGTGGGCCCGGCAACTGCGGAGGCAGTGTGCCAGAGGCCACTCGCTGGAACCGGGCAGCGGAGACGTCTCTCTGCACTGAGCCTCAGCAGGGAAGGAGGGGAAGCAGGAGCAGGGGCAGGATGGGAGGATGGAGGAGGAGGAGGAGGAGGAGGAGGAGGAGGAGGAGGAGGAGTGGAAGGAGGAGGAGGAGGAGGGCGAGGAGGAGGAGGAGGAGAAGGAGTTGGAGTTGGAGTTGGAGCAGGGGGAGGACGACGAAAAGGACGTGGGGAGAGCAATGGGGAGTGGAAGGAAGGGAGAGGGAGGGGGATGGAGAAGGGGAGGAGGGAGGGGGGGGTAGGGGAGGAGAGGGAGTGGAGGGGAGGAGGAGAGCAGGAGGGCAGGGAGAAGGCTGGGTGCGAAAGGGTGATGAGGAGGCGGAGGAGAAGTGGCCTGCGACCTCGCGGGCCAGGGGGCGGGAAAGGGAGACAGGCAGTGGGGAAATAGACATGGGGAAGGCGAAGATAAGGGAAGAGGAGAAGCAGGAGGATGACAAGGAGGAGGAGGAGGAGGAGGAGGAGGAGGAGGAGGAGGAGGCGGAAGAGGCGGATCAGGAGGGAGGAAAAGAGAAGAACGACGATGAGGACGAGGGCGAAGCAGAAGGACATGGAGGAGGAGGAGGAGGAGGAGGAGGAGGAGGAGGAGGAGGAGGAGGAGGAGCATGACTTGGAGGAGGAGGAGGAGGAGGAGGAGGAAGAGGAGGAGTACGAGGAGGAGGGAGGAGGAGGAGCGAGGAGGGATGAGGAGAGAAGGAGGAAGAGTAGGATAAGGAGGAAGAAGAGGAGGAGAAGGAGAAGGAGGAGGAGGGAGGAAAACTAGGTGGAGGACGACGACGAAAGAGGATGGGGAGCAGCAGCAGCAGCAGCAGCAGCAGCAGCAGACGCAGGCTAAGGCCAAATGCATGGCGTCAGGCGTCAGCATACCAGGACTCAGCCAGAACCGTGCAGGGAAGGAGAGGGAAATGATGGGTTGCAGGTGCAAGGGGCAGAATTTCTGCCGCAGAAAGTACGAGCGAGGAGGAAGGGAAGGGAGCAGGACGGAGAGGACGAGCATGAGGAAGGAGTAAAAGGAGGGAGGGAGGAGGAGGAGGAGGAAGAGGAGGAGAAGGGAGGAGGAGGAGAGGAGGAGGAGGAGGGGGAGGGAGGAGGAGGAGGAGGAGGAGCAGGAGGAGAAGGAGGAGGAGGAGCAGGAGGAGGAGGGAGGAGGAGGAGGAGGAGGAGGAGGAGGAGGGAGAAGGAGGGAGAATGAGGGAGTCGGGAGAAGTAGGGAGCAGGGAGAGGAGAACCAGGAGGACAATTAAAGAGGAGAAGGCGGAGGGATAATCAACCTGCACCACGGTGAGGAGGGCGTGTTCTTCAGTGTTCTGGTGGCTCTCTGTTGCAGTGTGCACTGTCGATTGTGCCATGATGTCTCATGTGCTTCCGTAGCATGCATGTCAACGGTGTGTTTTGAGTTACGCACGTGCTCCAGCCCGTGTCGCGTCGCACCTGCGCATGCGGTGTCCACAAAGCCAGAGGTGGCGAAATACGCGTATGCCGGTGGAGCAGAGGGCAGATTCTTTGGGCGGCCATCCGCCCCGCGACCCCTCGGACGGGGCTCCCGGAGCCCCGCTCCTTTTTCCACCAGAGTCATCATTCTGGCTGTTGCTGATCCTGGTCCGCCTCTTCCTCTTCATCGTACTCGTCATCGGCATCGTCCGTGTCGTCCTCGTGTCCCTTGTCTCTCTCGTATTCGTACTCGTTGGCTGCATTGTCCTTGTCCTCCACCCCCCCCTGGTTTTGTTGCTCGTCCTTCTCCTGCTCCTCATGTGGCTCACCGCTCCTCCGCCTCCTCCTCGGCACCATCATAGCTCTTGGCATCCTTCCTATTATTATCATCATCTCCACCCTGACCCCCCCACACTTCCAAAACCATTTTGTCCTCCTCCTCCTCCTCCTCCTCCTCCTCCTCCTCCTCCTCCTCCTCCTCCTCCTCATCTCCTACCTCTCGCCTCTCCCCGCTCCTCGTCCTCATCCTGCCCTACCTCCCGTTTATCTCCATCTTCCATTTCTCCATTGGCGAAGGTGCACTGGAGCCTGGAGAGGGGTGCCACGACGGAGGGCGGCGAGATGCCATTGCTGGACCGCTCATCCTTGTCCAGACGAGGAGAAGGATGATGAGGAGTGGGCGTAGGGACCAGTGCAAACTCAAGACTCATCAACGAGATCGGAATTCACCATCCCCCAAGTTCCCTCTTCATAGGCCCCTACAAATATTCATTTTCACTGATGGAGATGCCCCGTTGGAAGACAACCGTTTAAAGATCCTGAACTGTGCCAGAACACCGTTCTTGGGACCTCAACGCCGCAAACCACGCCAGCACACCATTCCAGGGCCACCAGCACCGCGAAACAGCGCAATTGCTGTGTCATGACAATTCGACACCGCGCCAAAAGACCATGTCTGGGACGTAACCATGAGAATCCATGAACCGCTGTAAATTGTTAAAGCGAATGTGCGCGGCACTAAGGCGAGAGCCATCCGTGAAATTCACGCAACCTTTCCCGACGAATATGCGCCTTCTCCCCCTCATTCCTTCCATCTCCCCTTCTGCCCTCGGCACGTCAATCTGTTCGGCACACCCCTCGCGCGTTTCGTGGCCCCGTAGGGCCACTAAAGGCCCCAGTGGCAGGGTCCACATGCGGTTCCCCGCCCCATTTCGGCACGCCCTTCACACCCTTCGTGGCCCCATAGGGAGCTCCACCGAAGGCCGCAGTGGCAGGGTCCACACGCGGTTCCCCGCCCATGTCGAAACGCCCTCCACATTCTTCGTGGCCCCAACGGGAGCTCCATTGAAGGCCCCAGTGGCAGGGTCCACATGTTGTCCTCCGCTCATGTTGGCACACACATACACACCACACGCTTCGTGGCCCCATAAGGGGCTCCACCGAAGGCCCAGTGGCACGGTCCATGTGCGGTTCCCCGCCCATTTCGGCACACCCCTCACGCGGTTCATAGCCCCATAGAGAACTTTACCGAAAGCGGTGCCCACAACGCGGTATTCACAATTGCATATGTCTGGACCCTTCGCGGGGATAATGCAAGACGAATGGTGCGCGGCGTTGAGACGACAGCCACATCTTGAAACCACCCGGCTTCCGCCCGTGAAGTTCTAGTAATGTTTAAGACGAATGTGCGCGGCGTTGAGGCGAGAGCCGCATTCCAGTTAAAGATCATCAGTTCAGGGTCATCAAGTATGATGAAGTCTCAGGCGAAACGTCCGGCCCGCCCTACCGACACGCTTCGGGGTGTGACAGGGAGGGGCTGCTTACGAGAAAAAGAGTCCAGGTCGAGAATGACGGGAGGAGGAGGAGGAGGGAAGGAGGAGGGGGAGGAGTAGGGGGAGTTGGAGGAACGGCATGAGGAGGAGGAGGAGGAGGAGGAGGAGGAGGAGGAGATTGGACGAGGAGGAGAAGGAGGCGGAGTTGTGGCGATGGGCGAAGTTTTCTCTTTGATCCCGAGCTGTTGCTCCTTCTCGTGCGTCTCGTTCTTCCGGTGGAAGGGGGAGAGGAGAAACAGGAGTCGGGGGAGGAGGAAGAAGAGGGAAGGCTTCTCGACGGATCTGTTGGCGGGGTTGCTCTGGAGGTGGCTCGGAGGAAGAGCTTCATGGGGTGGAGGTGGTGCTGCTCGCGTCTGTCGTCCCGTGTCGCCCCGTGCTCCGCAGCGCACGTCGCCTTCGAGCCCGAAGAGGTTGTGCCCTTCTCCCGTCGATTGCCGTCGACGGGCCCTGACGCTACGGGGCACCGTGCCCAGTGGTCTGCGTACGAAACGGAGGGGGGAAGAGGACGATGAGGGGAGGGAGGCGGGGAAGGGAAGGAGGACGAGGAGGGGGAGGATGTGGGATTGAGAACGCCCCCCTTCTCCTCAGTGCTCCTCCACTCTTCAGTTCTCCTCCACTCGCCCTCCCTCCTTCACTCCGAATTGTGCCCAGCAGCTGTCGACTGGAGTTTGGTACCCAGGGCAGTTTGAGAATGAGCTGAGGTTGTGGAAGGCCTGGCCAGGATGGAGCACGACGGCGGAAGTTTTGAGCTTAGCGTTTCGCCCCCCTACAGCATGTAGAGGGATATGGCTTGACAGGGGGTGCAAGAAGAACGGCAGGCCAAGGACACCACGCAAGCCCTTCGCTCTGGCCGCACGCGGGAAGTTCAACAGGCTCCCAGTCAGCTGGCACCATGCGCGGGCAGCACGCAGACCAAAGAAGAGTCACACGCTCGACTGCGCTGACGGAGCGCACACCGTGGCCACGCGCTGCCTCGGCAAGGCCCATCACGCAGCAGCGCTGGCACGCCGAGGGGACCATTCGAAATCCGCCCAAGTGATTGTACGGGGGGAGGGCCAGGCAGAGGGCGGAGACGTCGGTGGAGGGTCAGCTAGTGGGATCATGTTAGAACGCAGGTGGCAGGGATCACGCACCCACTGAAGTGCCAAGACGCCACGAGCACCTTCTACACGCTGCACCACGGCTGTGTGTTAGAGGACGCGCACGCATGCCGCGACGCAAAGGATCGGCAGCTCATCGAGGATAGGGTGCATCACACGTTTGTCCGCAAGGACGGGCGGACCTATCTGGCAGCAGGCGAAGCGTGGCAAGATCCTTGGAGGCACAAGCGCCTCTCGGCTGCTTGGCAAGATCCACCCTGACAGGATCATTGATCATGGAGGAGGGACCAGGTTGCGCTTTCATCCATGGGTGGCACTATCTGTAGAAGCCCGTCGACCTTGGCAGGATGATTTCACGGATCCGTTGGCGCTCACAAGTTTCGTCTATGATTTAGTTCACATGTTTTGTTGAGCACGAGGGGGGGCGGGAGGGGCATGGTGGCGACCGTCCAGAGGGGGGACGCGGAGTGGAAAAAGGCGATGGACGAGGGGCCAGCACATGTGGGAGCGGGACAGAACACTTCCAAGGAGGACGTCGTTTACAATCTGCGCCGCCGCGGGGCCGACCAACTCCAGAGAAGATTTTGCGTTGGAGAGGCGAGCGCCATTGCTGACAAGACCGACCACAGCATCGGGCATTTGGGAGGTCTCAAGTTGGCCACTTGCACCCTTGGCCCTGACTTGCACGATCGATTCCTGGCCCTCACAGCAGCTCGCCATTGCATGAGGGCTCAGTACCCCGCGTTCCCCCTTCCCCGTCGGCAGAACTACAGCGAAAGGAGGCCTGGTCAACGCGGCCTTATTTGGGCCAGGAGTGGCAGCACACGGTTCGGGGCCAACTAGAGCAGCAGACGCACGCTATCTCGAGAGTTCTTTGCTCACGTGCTCTCGAGCTAACTTGTGCGGCACAGCTAGGTGGGAGGAGGGAACGGCACGCGCGCGCGCGATCAAACGCGAGGAGGTGACGAAAAGTTCTGGTTTGCACCATCGGTTTGGGATTGCGAATGCGCAGGGTCAAGTGGCTGCAGAAACTTGCGGAGATGCGCGAAGACAACGCTCAGTTATTTTCGGCAGTGCTCGGCACGGCCAAGTTTGACGCGTCTGTACTTGAAGGCGGCCAAGTTTCAGAGCAGAGCAGGCCGGCCCATGGGCGAGACGAGCTCAGCGAGGCATGGATTCGCGCGCGGCTACGGGGCCGAGAGCCACCCTACGCGAGTTCCAAGATGCGTTCGAATTCTTTCCCGGCGACTGCCAAGAGTTCGAGAGATTCCATGTCGACGAGCTGCTCGCGAGGCGCGTTCTTTCTCGCAAACCCCCGCGAGAGCCAGTCCAAGCCGGAAACGCAGGAGGCGAGCACAGATGCGCGGAGACTAACGAGGACGGAAGTATGCGCCGCTTGCTTTTGCCAAAAGACATTCGTCTACGCGCGCATCTCTGCAGCGGCAGGCGGGTGTCCTGGAAAATCGCGCAGTTAAAAGCATCGACGACTACGAGCGCGCGATATGCGAACGGACGTTTCGGGGCGAACAGATCGCACGGCAGCCCGCATCGGCAAGTGCAATTAGAGGGCAATGTCCAAAGCAGGGGGAGGTACGCAAGCGAAATGGATTGCCCACTTCGTTTGAAAACATCGGAGGCCGTGGCCAGCTTCTTCGAGCACTGTAAAGCCACATCCCACCACTCCTGCCGCCGCCGTTTTGCATGCGAAAGATTCGAACGGATGAGTTCGGCACGGAGGCGTTGAGAAGGGTGCTTCGGAGCGCGATCACCCAGTCAGAGAGGAACCGCGGCATGGGGTGGGTCCAACAAAAAGGCCAAGGCCACGATGGACGCGGTAGAGGAAGGGGACGAGAACGACAGCGCAGCCGCCAGTCGCGACTGCCATGCGCCAATTGTTCCAGGCGTTCGTGAAAAAGCGCAAGGAGAAGCCAGAAAGAAAGCACGCCAGCTTTTCATTGCTTTTTCGGGGCTCTAGACGTTGTCTTGAGCTCAGAGTACAAGGATGGCCCGCCTTGCAGCGACTAGGCCCGGGCCTCGCTACAGCGCCACAAGCAGATATTAGAGAGCGGGGAGCCAGGCAACGCGGAGAAGTGGATCCGCGAGATCATGGCGCCACCGGCGTTCGACAAACCAGATGAGGATCCCAAAAGTCTGCATTACATGAAGTTCCCGAGGACACGGGCTCCTGCTAAGGGAAAAGGCGGACAACGACAACACGACGAAAGCAATCACCAGCCCAGATAACTCCTCCCTTCATCTCAGCCCAACAGGCCCAACGGAGCTCCCCACATTTATATCCGCGATAAACGGAGTCACGGTCCCCGTGGAGAGTTGCAGGAGCCTCGGAGGCCAGACATTCGGAGGTCGGGCCCCCAAAGGGAAAATTGCGCGCCAGCTGAAGGTGGAGCATGGGGGGATACAAGGCAAGTAAAGTACAAGAAAAATGCAAGACGACACCAAATTAGGGGCAGAGTAAAAGACCCAGTGTTTGTGAGCATGGCTGATCGTTTACGGACAGGTTGACGAATACATTTTGGGAGATCACCCGCACACACATTCGGCGGGTGGTCGAGATTTCCTGCGCGGAGAGCCCGCAGGTGCTTTCAGACGCGAGGGTGCTTGAGCGTGGGATCCTGATGTGGTCAGCCTTGTCGCACGTCGCACCATCAACGCAGCTGCGCACTCCAGCTGCGACGACAGCCCATCGAGAGACGACCCCCACGTGGTTCGATCCCGCTGCCGGCGACACAGAGGTGCTGTCCAACCGGCACCACGCGCACTGCATTCGTGTGTTGTGGGCCGCCTGCGGGCCCTGGGCCGCGCCCCCGTGCTGGCCCCCCTATTCCGGGGGGGGGGCCTCGGCGGGCTTGCCAGTGCCAGACGGAGGGGCGGAGCTGCAAGCTTCATCCCCAGCCAGGGGTCCCAGCTGAAGAAACCAGAGCCAGCCTGACTGGGATGAGAGACAGAGGGACAGAGAGAGGGGGGGGGAAGAGCAACAGCAAACAACGACTCGTCCTTCTCCTTTTCCTCCTGGTCCTCCTCCTCATCCTCTCACTGCTCGTCCCCCTCCTTTTCCTCATCCTCTACCCCCTCCTCCTCCGCTGCCTCCAGTGGTCACACGTGTTCAGGGCGGGTCGTTTTCGGAGTGGGTCTCTCGCCTTGGCAACGTGCACGCTCGAAACAAAAACGAGCATCCGCACAGGCGGAAGGCAGTGCGCTTTAGAAACAGAGCGTTCGTTTGAGGCTTCTTCGACTTGAATCACCAGGTGTTTAAGATGTTGCACCGGTTTCGTGGATAGAGGGCGATGTCTTTTCACATGTGTGTATACATATATATACATACACATATAAGTCGGGTTCTGTAACACGTCGGACAACATCTGATATGATGACCAGACGTACAGGCATCGCACAATTGTAACACGGATGGAAATCTGCCAGTTGTGTAAAAAGCAGTTCTCGTTAGCCATTCCCTTGAATGTCATAGTCCCACTTCGTCTTATGTCTCGAAGCACGTAAGGCAGCTCATGTGCTTGACCAGGCTCCCGGCTGAATCGCGGTCCCATGCGGCGTTTGCCTTTTCAGGCGAGCGCTCCCCGCAGTGAGAAACGACTTGCAGAGACTTATGAGGAGGCATGTGGGAAGGGAGGATGTACCGCGACATTGTTGACACATCTTGGGATTAATCAGGTCCCAATCACCACCATCATCACCACCACCACCACCATCATCATCGTCGTCATCATCATGTTCATGTTCCTCCTCCATTCCCCGCCTTGTTTCCCACAAATCCTATCCTACCCAGGCTCCGCGCTCGGTGGCGCGCGGTATTATACCAACTTCGTAGGTATCCTGGGGTCTCTGGAGTCCTCCTGAGGCCCGCGGATGGCCAAACACGCCCAGGAATCCTCCAGAGATCTCCCGAAGGCCCGCCCTGATCTCAAGGATTGGGGGCTCCCCAGGATTAGGGTTTGTTCAGGTGGGGTCAGGGAAAGAGCCTGGCTGGATGCTCACATGTCTTTCTTCCAGGCGGCGTTCAGAGCGATTGTTCTTCCAACCTCACTTCTGCCATCATCCCACCTTGACAGTAGACAAATACGACCCGACATTCTGCTATAAGAAATCTCGGGGCACGTTTGTCACCGAGCTTCGAGCTGACCGAGGTGCCCCAAGGCTTCTGCGGGTCCCCAGGACTGTCGGGGGATAGGAAGCTTTCCTTGTGCACTTGCTTGCAGGCCGGCTTCTTAGTTGACGTTCTTATTGCTTTGTCCCCACGACAGGAGTTCTTGGAGTCGGAGATCACGTTCGTGGAGTTCTCCAGGCTGCTCCTCCGGCTGGCGGAGAGCAAGACCAGCGAGGCCTCGCGGTCGGCGGCGGGCGCGCCCGCGCGCGAGGGCGTGGCGGGGACATCGTCCTTCCACCCCCATACGAGGGGGGAGGAGGAGGACGAGGGGGAGGAGGAGGAGGAGGAGGAGGAGGAGGAGGAGGAGGAGGATATTGTTTTTTGAATTTTGGGGCACCCGAAGGCCTGGGGGTCTCGGGGGACTCGCACATACCCCCAGAGACCTTCGTGGACCTCCAGGGTCCCCGTCCTACGGTAAGGTCGAAGCGCCTCGTTGCGGCGGTTGCGCCAGCGCGGGCGTGCAAGGTCGAGCTCGCTCCGTCCGTCGTGCCACCTGTGGCCCAGGCTCGGGGTGACGCCAGATTTCCCAAGCTTCCCGAGGGAGCGACGCACGCATTGGATATGTGCCTCCGCCGACTCGGAGGAGAGAAAGCCTAAGGAGCATAGATTGTCGCCGGTCCGCGCGGAGTTCTTGCATCTGCGCCTGCGGCAGCACTCTGGCGCCGCCCGTGGCGCGCTCCGCGCGCCAGGCAAGGGTGCAGCGCGATCCGCCGCGCGGGCCTCCGAAAGTTTATGTTTATGCCGTTATGTCGCATTCCAAATACTTCATGCGGTTTCTGGGGCACCCCTCACGAGGCCCAGAGGGTCCCAGGTGCCCCAGAGTGCTTCGACAAGCTGCGGACACTTTGAGTCAGGGCCACATCTAGCAGCACCAGGCGCGGGGCCACTGGAAAACAGCCCATTCCGCGCGGGATCCAAACCGAAGATGGGGCCGAGAGCTGTCGGGGATGCCTACGGTCAGGAGATTTTGGCTGAGCGTGTCGCGCCGCCAGTCCTGGCCCACTGCGCTTCGGCGCGACACGCTATACACGTCCCGGTCCTCAGGCGTCTACGTCCCGATTTCTTCTCAGCATCTTGCCCCGCGGAGCGGAGCGACACGCTATCATCACGCTGGGGATAGTATGTCGCTGGGGCCGCCGCCGCGACACGTTGAACAAAAGTCCTGACCGTAAGGCCAACATCGTCACGGATGAAATGTCCCGTACTTTTCTTCGTGTTATCATAATCCTTCTGATCAGTTGTACTATATTTCTTTCTTCGTCATGTAGCATGTCTCGATCCCCGGTGATTTGGGATCGCGGGCGTTTCAGCCTTCCTCTTGCAATCGTCGCCTCCACTCTTACCCGAGCCGGGACATGATCACAATGGGATAATGGGAGATGGACCACCACTCTTCGGACGAGGGGGACAGGGCAAACAAGGGCAAAGGGAGCAAGGGCGGCAACAAAGGCATGAAGCGCAACAAGAGCAGCTCGGAGCATTGATACGGAGATAGCAGATTGCAGACATGTGCAAACGGCTCGGGGGAAAAGGACTCGTACCACCGCTTCGCGAAAGCACCACCAACGGGGATTCTACGGCGGAAGCGCGGTTCCGACGGGGAATTTGGTGAAAGGGGCAAGCGCAATCACAACCCCAGCTGATGTGCATGTGTAGCATAGCTTATTTGGCTCAAGCGACAGAGTCTACATATCTGGCCTTCACAAATGCGAACCTACAGAGTCTTTCTGGCCTGAAGCGGGGCATGACGACCGTGAATGGCGAGATTGAACTGAACAAGAAGCCACAGTGGAAGATAGACGACCCGTGGACTTGGATTCACTACGCATGGGTACCGAAATGCTTGAGCACATAGATCGGCAACGGCATGCAGCTCGCGAGCCAGCACAAGGAGGCGACTACGCCGCCGCCAGACCTGCACCCACCAGGTTGGGAGAAGCCAGAGTGGAAGGCAGAGGGCCCAAGCACGTGGGCCCACTACGGATGGGTAGAGTTGGACGAGATGAAGCGACTGAACGAAGGCATCCCGATGGCCATCGCAGAGCAGAACAAGAAGGGACCCATGTCAGCAAGGCTGGAGGAAGCTTTCCCCCCAAAGAAGATTGCGAAGATAGGCCCACAGCCCCCCGCCAAGTGAGAAGAGAGAGCGACAGGGGAAACGGCCGTAAAGAGAGATTCGGTTGCGGGAACCGATTGCAATGAAAAACAAGCTGGTGCGACGACGACAGTGGACCAACGGGCAGGCATTCCATGGGGGACAGATATTGAGGGTTACGGAGAGGGGACCAGGGGATACTTTTGGAAGCATGCACGGCGGTGGCTCCTTGACAGTGGACCAACGGACAGACACCACTCAGGGGCACGACGGGGCCTTCGAGGGGATCTTGCGACGAGGGAGACAGGGACACAGCGCACGCAAGTGGCACAAAGCACGCGACTTGGGAACACGAGAGATCGAGAAGACTCACGAACCCCACGGCGCCAGAAGGCCTCCAGAGGACACCTCGCCGACCCCCACACCAAGAGTTGAGCCAGGCCCATCGCCTTCCCCCGCCCCCCCCCCCCAACCCACCCCACCCTTGTTTCCTATGATTAAACACTCCCTCATCCCCACCTAGCCGGCCGACAGCAACCCCGGCGTCCGAACTGTCGAAAACAATACAAATTAAATTTGTTTCTCGCCAACATGTCGTCGAGTTGCGCAAAGTGTAGCAGGAATGGGACGGAATGAACAACGCTAGGGAAACCCCAAGCGGGTGGTCGTGTCCTACCCATCAAAAAACAAGACACAGTCAACGTTTTTTCTCGTCAACGTGGACTTTCTTGTCGCCGACGCTGCGAAAAGTGTAGCAGGAATGGGACGCGGCGCACACCGCGCGCGGACGCCTGGCCAACCCTACGCGGGACCCCCCGTCCTACATGTCCAAAAACACAGCAACGTCGACATTTTTCTTGTCAACATGTACTTTCTCCTCGTCGGCGCTGCAAATCGCGCAGCGGGAATGGGACGCGGCGCACATCGCGCGGGGACGCCTGCTCGTCAATATGGACTTTCTTGTCGTCGGCTCTGCGGCCCGTCGGGTTGAGGAGCTGGGCGGGCGGCAAATTATAATGCCTCAAGCAAGCGTGGTTCAAGCAAGCGTGGTTTGCCGCATTTCGCGCGCTGGACATGTTGTCGCCGACGATGCAACGTGAGAGGCCAGAGCGGCTCGCGGCGTACATCGCGCGCGGTCTTGTTTCTCGCCGACGTCGCTCAACACGCGGCATGAATAGGACGCAGTTCATGTCGCGCGCTGAACGTCTAGCCGCCCACGATATAAGATGAGCGATAGGCGATAAGATGGGCGACAGGCGTCGGACGCGACGCACTTGCTTCTTATGTTGTGGAGGGGCGGGTGGGAGTGGACGGAGCCCTCTGGCTCGCTCGAGCTGGCTAACTTGACTCCGCCCCACCCCACCCCCCGCCCCCTTTGCTGGGAAGGGCCCCCTTCCCCCCCACAGGCGGCCAGGGGCGCCCCCTCCCTAGCGTCGCTTTTTTGTTCGACCAGGGCTCCAAGAGAGCCTCTTATAACGCCCCCCCCCCCCGCGTTGGCAGTGCCAGCATCCATGTTGTCAGAAAGGCGCTTGAAAGCCAGCGGCCTCCTGAATAGGGGCCGCCGCTTGGGCTCTTTTTCGACGCGCTCGGCTTTGACTTCCCCTCCGCATCCCCCTGCCCGCCATGTGGCACCGATGCGTTTGCAGCGAGAGCTCGCATCAATGCACGCGTCAGGGTCTAGGATTACGGCGCGTTTTCGGCGGGACGAGTTGAACCCCGATTTGCGGAACATGGACATGATCCCCCCTTTCTTTTTTCCAACCCTTGCTCTCCCGAAACAGCGCGTGCACTTCGGGATTTTTATGTGTGGTTTAAGGAAATGGGCCTAGCCGTCGGTCTGGCGACTATGTCGCCGCGTCGTCGGCGATTCGTCACCGCCCGTCGCCTGGGCCTGGGCATCTGGCGGTTCTGTCGTCGCCGTCGCCGTCTCGACGCCGCCTTGCGTCTGGGGTTGTGCGTCGGTCTGGCAGCTATGTTGCCGTCGTCGCCGACCCGTCGCCGCCCGTCGCGTGGGCCCGGTCTGGCGGCCACGCCGTAGCCGTCGCCGCCCCGTCGCTGCCGCCTTGTTGAACAACATAGATTGCACTGCGTAGATTGCACCACGCCGGTTGCACCACAAATTTTCCGCAACGGTGGTTGCACCACATATACGGCACCACACAGGTCGCTCGCACGCCACATTCCTCTCCGATTCGAAAACAGACATTAAAGCACTTGATTGCCCATCCGAAATTGCACCGCGTAGGTTGCGCAACATAGATTGCACAGTGTATGTGTGAGACCAGTTGTGTATATGTGTATATATGTGTATGTACGTTGCGCACGATAGCTACCGATAGGGATGTATGAATATGTTGCGCATGGCATATACAAGCATATACAATGAAATACAAATGAATGTGTATATATATATGTTGCACAATACAGATTGCGCCACATCGATTGCACAACGTTGATGCTTCCACTGCGAGTGTTCAAAGTAGATTGCACCACAGACGTTGCACAACCGAGATCGCACCACATAGATTGCACAGCATAGAGCGCATAATTTAGATTCTCCTGTCTAAAAGAAAAATACACTCTACCCCCCCCCCCACCCGGAGTTGACGGCCCCCCCTGGGGTATTGTGATTTCACACGTATTCTGCACATTCGTCCATCCGAAATTTGAATTCAAATTTTCCCAGCCTGGCCGGTACCACTCCCCCCCCGCCACCCTCTGCAAAAAACACTATGCGCGCATTCTCGTTTATCAAAAGTCATAAGTTTTCAAAAATCCCTGGCAAAAAAACTGGACGAAGTGTACACGCGCGCGTCGTCGCGCGCGCATGCCGAAATCCTTCAAGAACCTTCGGCTTCGGACGGATTTCAAAATCGAGCTTCTAAAACACATACCAAAAAAACATGGTTTCGCAACAGTGATGCTCTAAAGAAGCTTACGCGCGCGCTCTTGCGAAATCTTCAGAAAACCATGGGTTGTTCAAGATTGTCACCAAAAAACTACTAAACGGGCTTCGCGCGCGCGCATGTCGAAATCGTTCGAACGCCTTTGCGCGCGTGCCGTCGCGAGAGTTCTTTGCAAAAAACTGGACGCGTCGTCGCGCGCGCACGCCGAAATCCTTCAAAAACCTTAGGTTTCGGAAGGGTTTCAAAATCGTGTGTCCAAAATGCAGTTTAAAAACAAAAGAAACAACAACCAAAAAAAAATCGCAACACGGATTTTCAACAAAAGCGTGCGCGCGCGTTCTTGCGTCGTCGTCGTCGTCGCCGTCCTCCCTCCTCCCTCGTCGTCGTCGTCGCCGTCGTCGTCCTCTGTCTTTCCTCGCCGTCGTCGTCGTCATCTTGGCGTCGTCGTCGTTTCCGTCGTCGTTGTCGCCGTGCTCGTCCTTCCTCCTTCGTCGTCTTCGTCAGCGTTTCGTCGTTGTCCCTCCTATTTCGTCGCCGTCGTCGTCGTCGTCGTCGTCTTCCCTCCTCCCACGTTGTCGTCGCCGTCGTCGTCCTCCCTCCTCCCTTGTCGTCGTCGTCGTCTTCGTTGGCGACGTCGTCGTCGTCGTCTTCGTCGTCGCCGTCGTCGTCGGCGGCGGCGTCGTCGTCGTCGTCGGCGTTGTCATCGTCGTCGTCAGCGTCGGCGTCGTCGTCGTCGGTGTTGTCGTCGTCGTCGTTGTCGTCGTCGTCGAAGTCGTTGGAGACGTCGTCGGTGTCGTCGTAGTCGTTGTCGGCGGCGCCGTCGTCGTCGTTGTCGCTGTCGTCGTCGGCGTCGGTGTCGTTGCCAAGTGCCATTTGGTACCCACCGTCACGGTCTTAAGAGGTCTTGCGACCAAGTTGCGGGTGGGAGGGTGGGATGTTTGCACGAGCAGTGGAGAGGACAGCTTCAAGTTGAGCAAGTGATTGATTGCAATACTTCTATTGCACCACGTAGGGTGCTCAACGTAGAGTGCACCACGTGGATTGCTAGAAACACATTGTTTGGGATCTACGATGGCTGGTATACCATTATAGAAAATGTCTTCCTGTCGCGCCCCCAAACGCGCTGGTAGGGCGAGCCGGGCGTTTCGCCAGAGATCTTCGCACCGCTGATGACCCTCAAGCTTCACATTTGCGATATAAGGATGGAGTGGGCGTGGGCTTAAGCATAGGGCTTTAGGTTTGGCGCCACGTGCATTCGTCTGAACATGTTGCCGCAGCCCCACAGATGGATCAAAGGTAGTTGATTGAACGGGCTATCGCTTTAGCGCCGCCCGCATGCGTTTTGAGCATTTGCAGCAGATGCAATGATGGAGGGGGTGGCTTTCAAAATGGTTGTCTTGCGCTCGCGCCCCGCACTGTCAAGTTCACAGTGCGCAACTGCTATAAGGATGGAGGGCGCCCACTTGTCAAAATGGGGTTTTCGCCTTTAGCGTCGCGCGCAATCCTGTAACACAGTTCGCAGCAGCTACAATGGTGGAAAGGGTGGTTTCCAAATGCGGCTTTCGCCTCAGCTCCGCGCACATTCGTCATAAACTGGTGCACGAGTTTCAGGGATTGAGGGCGGTGCCTTTCCAAACGTATTCTCTCATTTGATACTTCCCCAAAGCCGCAGGCTAAAACATCAAACATACTTAGCAGATGCGCGGATGGATGTCGATCCTTTTTCAAAATGGGGGCCCTCGCGTTTCTGACACTCCAGAAGCCCATAGCTAGAAGTCTAGCCTTGAGCAACAGCTGCACCGATGGGGGCGACCCTTGTCCAAAACAAGGATATCGCTGGAAACCTCGTAGAATTGTCTGGCCGTGCCTCCTCGCAGACCTTTTTCTATTCGCTGTAAGCATGCGAGGAAGGCTCTTGGATGGCAAGCCCATCGGGCGCTGGTCTTTCGAGGAGCCGCTTCTTGTGATGGCAAGGAAGGCGTGTGCTGGATTGGGGGAGGGGACCTGGGACGGGAGCGTGTATTGTAGCATCGTTGATGTATAATAACTTCACTGTGGTCCCTACGAGGCAAGTCAGGGCACAGCCAGGCAACGACGCTGGAGCTTCTCTCTTGCAGGACAGCCCAATGGCAATACCAGCGGTCCTGTTCACCTTTCCAGGCCTGGCCGGCCTTCGGTGACCTTGGGCCCCAAGCGTCCTTCTTAGATCACCGGCCGTCAACGACCGCCAGCCTGGCCCCGAGCAGGGGGTCACTGCACTGGGGGGGAACGCGGGGTGGCCCCAGACAATCTGAACATTTGCGCCTGGGGGGCGGTATGTTCAGAAATTGTCTGGGCCCACTGGTGGCCATTCTCGCGCGTTGCAGTTGGGGCGAGGCATCCTGTGGAACAGGTCCCTCTTGTCACCCCACAGCGGAGACATCGGCAGCAGTGGAGGGGATCGGCCCCGTCCACCCTCGGGGGGGGCGACCTGGCTGCCTGAGAGCTGCCTACCCGTGTCACCCCTGGGGTGGCGATCCGACCTGCGCTGGCGTAGGTCGCCCCCTTCTCACCTCTAAGGTGGCGTCCCTGTCTGCCGCAGAACTGGTCTCCATGCTGCCCTGATGCGACCCCCGTCACCGCTGGGATGGCGATCCTCCCTGCGGTGTAGCAGGCGCGCATGCCCAAACTAGGGTAGCAAGCCGACCTGCCTTTGTGGCCCCCGGTGAGCTGCCCTGGGCCCCCTACAAGGAAAGGGAGCCAGCGTCTGACATTATTCTGGGAGACACCAGCCCATTCTCTGATCAGGTGGTGAGACACGCTTCATGACTGATATGTGTACGGTAGGAGGCGATAGGGGCTATCGTGAAGCACCCGCCGCCAAAACGAATTTGTCGAACAGAGGTGGCTGTCTCGGGGTATGTTGATCACACGTACCATCCACCAAAACAGGTGCCAACAACAGTTCCAGCTCAGGCTCTGGGACCAGCAGGTTGTTACCCCAACCTTCACGAGCACCTTCACAGGGTCATGACTACCCTCAAGGGCATTAGCACTACCCTCCTTTTCCTCCCCCTTCTCCTCCTCATCCTCGTCTTCTGTGCGAGTACCGATCGGATCAAGTACCAATCGCCGACACGGGTCCACGCACGCCCGAGACAAGTGGCACGCGTGCCCTAGCTCTTGCACCAAGGAGCTGAGAGGGACAGGAGGCATTCGCCTCCTTCCTCCAGGAGTTTCCTTCTGTGGCCGGGGGGTGGGGGGGGAGGACGAATGACGAACGAACGAACGAACGACGCAAATAAAGAGGTCCGAGCTCTAGAACACAACTGTGCAAGAGAATGAAGGGTTCCGTGGCCCAGGGGGGCTGCCCGGGGAAGCCTGGACGGAGGCCCTGGGAAGCTTGGACGGAGGGGTCCCAAGAAATCCCAAGAGCCTCCACGGGGAGGTGGCCCAGAGAAGCGTGGGGAGGCCCAGGGGGTCCCAAGGGGTCCCAAGGGGAGGGCCCAGGGGGACGCACGAACGAACGAACGACGACGAAAATAAAGGGTTCCGTGGCCCAGGGGGGCCGCCCTGGGAAGCCTGGACGGAGGGGGGTCCCAAGGGGAGGGCCCAGGCCCAGGGAAGCTGGGGCTCAGGGGGGGTGGCTGGGTCCGAGGGGGAGGGCCCAGGGGGGTGGGTCAGAGGGGGAGGGCCCAGGGGGACGATCGAACGAACGAACGACGACGAAAATAAAGGGTTCCGTGGCCCAGGGGGGCCGCCCTGGGAAGCCTGGACGGAGGGGCCCTGGGAAGCCTGGACGGAGGGGCCCCAAGAAGTCCTAAGAGCTCCCACGGGGAGGTGGCCCAGAGAAGCGGAGGGAGGCCCAGGGGGTCCCAAGGGGCCCCAAGGGGTCTCAAGGGGAGGGCCCAGGGGGACGAACGAACGAACGAACGACGACGAAAAGAAAGATGTCCGAGCTCTAGAGCACAGCTGTGCAAGAGAATTAAAGTGTAGTTCGTTGTCTTGTCTATAAGTTGTCCTCCTGTTGTCACCCTTCCTCCTCCAGGCTGCTGTTCGGCACCCGCCAGGCCTGCCCGCTGGGCTCCTCCAATTGACGCGGTGGCGCTGCAATGTCGAGATGCTTTGCAGCTATCATGTGTGGGGTGTTTGTCGTGGAAGTGTTAGCCAGCGTGGACTCCAAACAGTGTGTCTAGCAACCTGTGTGGTGCACTAGATGTGGTGCAGTCTGTTTGAAGGAGTATGTGTGGTCAATATATGTAGAGCTATAGATGCCGTGCAGTACATGTGGTGCAATATACGTTGTGCAATGTATGGGAAACAATACACGTTATGCAAGATATGCGGTTGTAATATACGTTTTTGGACCCGTCCAGCATCATCACCTCGATACCTGTTGGGTTGGGATGGTATGGGTTCATAGCTAGGATGGACAATGGGGCAAATTCATGTGTGGATTTGCCACACGAAATCGGGAGGTGATAATCCTGGAGGGGGTGCTATACAGATGCATATATATAGAACAAAATACTAAAATGTGTGATGTGATTTATGTCGTGCGAGCTATGGTGTGACATATATGTGATAGGACCACCCATACGTGTGGTGTGAACAATCGATTGGATCGCAACGGGTTGCATTGCAACCGATTGGATTGCAATGCGAAACAAAGCCCGGACGACGGGCGGCGACGGGGCGGCGACGGCGAAGACATGGCCGCCAGACCAGCAGTCCCGCCCAAACGACGGGCGGCGACGGGGCGGCGACGTCGAGCACATAGCCGCCAGAACGAGTTCCAGGTCAATTTCTTATCACAGAAGTACAAACCACTAAGTGCAAGCACCGTTTGGGGAAAAGTTTGTTATTAGATGGCCTCCTCGCCCCCTCCCTCCGCATTAGGAAGAGCGGGAAGAGGAGAGTTCTCCCTCCTCCCTCATCTGTCTTGTCAGCCCCCCATCCCCCTGCTCCAGTCCATCTTCCCCCACCCCCCCGCCCATTTCTGCACCCCTCTCTGCCAGGCGGAGTTCAATGGAGACATGCCCCTCCGCACACGCCTCGAAGGTTTCCTTGCTCACGTCTTCCTGCCCTCGCTGGGCACGCCCTACGTGCCACCGCCCACGGAGAGCCCCACGACGGACGTGCAGCCGGAGGAGGCACCGAGCGGGGGCAGGGAGAGGAGGGCGGGGAGCAGCGGGGAGGAAGAGGAAGACGAGAGGCGGGAGGAGGGGCTTGCAGGAGATGGGGGAGGGAGGGGAGAGGAGGGAACAATCGGGGGGGATGAGCGGGGGGGGTGGGATGGATGAGAGGTATGAGGGACAGGGGAGTGTGATGGAGGAGGCGGAGGCGGAGGCGGAGGAGAGGAGGAGGGTGGAGGATGAAGAGCGTAGGGGGTGGACCAAATTAACCAGAAGAGAGAAAAGGGGAGGAGGTAGGGGGAGGTGGAGAAGGGAGAGAGAGAGAGAGAGAGAGAGTTTTAGGGGGGGAGGGGGGAAGTGTGGAGGGAGGGGGGGGAGGGATAGGGAGGGGGCAGTGTGAGGACGGTGGGTCTGGGAGGGAGGGAGCAGGGAGGAGCGGCGGGCGCTGGTGTTGGGCGTCGCCCTCGTTACTATTATTCCTCCTCTCCCTTCTCAGCACACTGGTCCTCCTCCGCCCCCCCCCCTCCCCTCCCTCATCACCCGTGGGGGGCGAGCGAATGGCGCCTCGGGATCCAACCCTATGGGTTCAGAATTTGTTGCGGCGTGTGGAGGTCCATTGCGCCTGGCCAGGGGCACTAGGAGGAGGAGGAGGAGGAGGACGACGATGGGGAGCAGGTGCTCCCCCCCCTTCTCCCCACCTCCTCTGTTTCATTCCCTCCATTCCCCCCCCCCGTTCCTATCCCCCCCGCCCCATTCCCTTTTCCTTTTCCTCTCCGGCCGGCGGAGAGAGCGCTGGGCGCTGGCCTCAGGAGAAGCAGCCCCAGCCGGCGTCCATGGTCGAGGCCCCGAAGTCTCGGGTGCTTCGTCCCCTGCGTCTCCCCCCACCACGTCGTCCTACGTCATCTTCCTTTTGATCAGTCTCGGCATCATTGCCGTCCTGCTGCCCTTCATCGTTATCTGCATCATCCGTTCTCTTTGTTTTGTTCTCTCTCTCTCTCTCCCCCTCTCTCTCTCTCTCTGTCAATACATCGCTCTCTCTCTCTCTCTCTATCTGTCTTTCACCCTCTCTCTCTCTCTTTCTTTCTCTCTCTCTCTCTCTCTCTCGCTCTCCCACCCCACCCCCCCCCCGCTTCATCATCATGCTCTTGCTTATGAATATCCGCATGCTCATCCTCATCCTCACCGGCGTCAAGACAGCATCATTACACTAAGGAGGTTTATGCCATGCCGCTGGTCCCCAAGACGAGCAGAGTCGTGACGTGTTTGTGTGAAGGGTGTGGGTGCGTCTGGGTCGTGTGGGATGGAGGGTAGGATGTCGGATGTGGCACTCGCGAACCTTGCTTGCCTCTATCATCTCTCATTCCTCCTTTCTGTTCAGTCCTCCTCCACCTATGCGATGCTACACCCGACAGGTTGGGGCTGTTAGGTTTAAGAACAGAATTCCCGTCTACCCACCCTGCACACCACGGTCGCCAGACGCCACAGGATCCCAGGAGTCCCTGAGTATCCCGCCTCGCGTCCTGGACGAATGGCGACACCATACCGCCGTCACGAAACCCCACAGAATCCCGGGAATCCCTTTGTCTCCCATCTCGGGTCTTCGTCGAATGACGACACCCTGCGTTGCATACCAGACAGCCCCGAGAAGGAGACGTATTGGCGTCACACCGCCCAAGCGTAACGACGCATGAACAATGAATCAGAAATAATACAAACCAAGGACACAGCAGAACCGGGCACCCATACCACAACAAGCATATTGTGATATACAGGGGCACAAAAAAGTATGACATCACATAGTGTAACAGAACCGCGAGTTCCGAACACAACATGTTATAGCACGTCATGACAGAACATACGATGCCGTGATATGCCACGAGATATGTTACGATAGCCTAACAGCATTGCATCCCATTACGACAGCATAATACGAGAAATCATACGATGACGCATCGGGCCAGAACTGATGATAGCATACAGAGACATTCACTGACATAGTAGTCAATAATTGTTTTGGATTTGCGACCACTGTGGCAACGAGTATAAGAGATCAACAAATACAGCAATTCAGGTGCGAATCAGTAAAATAACAGACGACAGTAAAATAGGATGAATTGGGCATGGCATAACGCACCCGAACATAGCATACCATATCATACCAAGACATACTAGGGTCGAACAAAATACAACATCACAAAACAGCTCACAGCATAAGAAAACAAACCATAATGTGAAAATACGTGGCTGAACATAGTACACCAGAACTGCATGTTAAAGTACACAACATGGCGGTCGATCGTCAGATACCACCGCGGCAACAAGTGTCGCGCGACGTACACGTATCTACCATAATTGACCATGGATGGTATAACCGAGTTGGAACAGCACACACAGCGCACACTTCGCAACATAACACAGCATATCTGAACATGGCAAGTCATAGCAGTGTTGGACGGGACAGAACAATTTACCAGAAGACAGCGCAGCATAGCAACTATGTATATATATGTATATATACGTATGTATGTATGTATGTATGTTTGTATGTATGTATGTATGTATGTATGTGTGTGTGGTGTTATACCGCTGCTGGTGGAAAACCGGGGGGGGTCACTACCGGTTCGAACCCCTCCCCCCCCCTCCCAGTTCATCACGAAAAGGGGGGGGGTCACTGCCGGTTCGAACCCCCCCCCCCTTCGAACCGAAAACCCGGGGGGGTCACTACCGGTTCGAACCCCTCCCACCCCCCCCCTCGAAAACCGAGGGGGGGTGCGGACAGTGGTGGGGGCGGTGGTGGCGGGGACAGTGGTGAGGGGACAGCGGGACAGTGGTGGGGACAGTGGGACAGTGGTGGGGACGGTAGTGGCGGGGACAATGGTGAAGACAATGGTGGGAACAGTGGGGACAGTGGGGCAGTGGTGGGGACGGTGGCGGTGGGGACAACGGTGTGGGGACAGTGGGAATGTGGTGGAAACACTAGGACAGTGGAGGGTACAGCGGTGGTGGGAACAGTGGTGAAGGCGGTGGCGAGAATGGCGGTGGGACAATGGGACAGAGGTACAGTGGGGACAGTGGTGGGGACAGCGGGGACAGTGGTGGGAACAGTGGGACAGCTCAGTGGGACAGCGGAGGAGTCAGTGGGACAGTGGGGACAGTGGGGATAGTCGGGCAGTGGTTGGGGCCGTGGAGAAAGTTGGGAGAGTGGAGCCGTGGTGGGAACAGTGGTGGGGACAGTTGGGACAGTGCGACAGTGGTGGTGGCACTGGTGGGGACAGTAGGGGCGGTGGTGGAACCAGCGGGGACAGTGGTGGTGAGGACAGTGGCGTTGGGAACAACAGTGGGGGATGTGGTGAGGACGGTGGTAGGGGGACGTTTGTGGCGACGAACCGGTAGTGACCCCCCCCTCCGGTTTTCGAGGGAGGGGAAGGGGGGTTCGAACCGGTAGTGACCCCCCCCGGTTTTCCGGAGGGGGGGGAGGGGTTCGAACCGGCAGTGGACCCCCACGGTTTTCCGCCAGCAGCGGTAGAACCTCCGGTTTTCGAGGGGGGGGGTTCGAACCGGTAGTGACCCCCCCCGGTTTTCCATAGGGGGGGGGGGGCTTAGGGGAGGAGGGGGGGTGGTGCCGGGGGGAAGGGGGGGGGGTCCAGCAGGGGGGGGGGGGGGGGATTGTCGGAGGGGGGGGAACCCCGGGCTCCGGAGGAAAAGGGCGGCAATTTTCCACAGTAAAGCGGCGGTGGATCACGCTCTCTCGTATATATATATATATATATATATATATATATATAGTCATAGCACAACAAAGCATGCTGTGACCGAGTGGGGCGTACCGTATCAATACATCATAGAACAATGGGGCATCGCATATTTTTGTACTACAGCCATCACCAAAGAAACGACCAAAACATAACATAGCAGAAAGCAGCATACTTGCAGAAGACTTATCCCGGCAAAGCAACCTAACAGCGATGTGTAGAAGCATAGTTGGAAACATTGCCTGTTGTATTCATGTAAGAGTGCTGTTGTAGAATTCTGGTGTTCTCGCAGTCGCATACGGATTCGCAGTGGCAGTCGCAGTGGCAACATCAGCGGCAGTCGCAGTGGCATTGCCAGTAGTTGCAGTAGCAATAGTTACACTAGCAGCAGCAATAGCAGAGGCAGAAGTAATAGAAATGGCACCGGACTTTCCGGACTTTCTCTGCCAGCTGCCGCTCTGCGAGGCTACGCCCGGCACACTCTTTCAGGTGGCGGCCGGGGTCTCGCACTTGCTGCATGAGCTCCTCGGTCTTGTCTCGCTTTTGCTGCATGAGCTCCTCGGTCTTCTGCTTCCGCTTGAGCTCCTGGGTCTCCGTCTGCTGATCAGCACAGCCCAGGGCCCGCAGTTCATGCAAAATGTCTTTGGGGATGCGGTCGCGATGGTCCGAGAAACGTTTGGCCAACTTGTTTTCGGCCAGTTTTTGTTCGGACGTTCCTTTATTTCGCTTCGGTATCCGGCCGAACTGCTTCACGTGCTCGACGAGCGTTTGCAGAGGACTGCTCAATGCAGCACGCTGAGGAGCAGCGCTGTTCCCTGCCGCAGGCTGAGGAGCACCGCTGCTCAATGCAGCAGGGTCACAAGCACCGCCGCCAGACCGAGAACTATCAGCATGTCCTGGCATTAAGGTGTGCAGTAGGCGCTGCGCAGTTCCTTTGAAAGGAAATCTTCGAAAGCAGGGCTGTAGCCAAGAAGGCTACGGGGACGATGATGATGATGAAGATGATGAGTCTTGGAAGTCTGGGAAGTGAAGAGCACGAAGTGCATACAGTTGGCTCCGGGCATTCAAAATGTGGCCCAGGAGCAGAGTTCTGGGAAGTGGAAGAGCACGAAGTGGCTTACAGTTGGCTCCGGGCATTCAAAATGTGGCCCGGGAGTGGAGTTTTGGGAAGTCCAAGAGCACGAAGTGGCTTACAGTTGGCTCCGGGCATCCAAAATGTGGCCCGGGAATGGTGTTCTGGGAAGTCCAAGAGCACGAAGTGGCCTACAGCTGGCTCCTGGCATCCAAAATGTGGCCCGGGAATGGAGTTCTGGGAAGTCGAAGAGCGCGAAGTGGCTTACAGTTGGTTCCGGGCATTCAAAATGTGGCCCGGGAATGGAGTTCTGGGAGGTCGAAGAGCACGAAGTGTGCGACTGTTTGCTTAAAACGAGCCCGGCCCTCGCCTGTCTGGCCCCCCTGGGGAGTCATCAGATGCTCTCTTTTGACCCCATTAGAAGCCTATCAGTCTTCGCTGTTAGGTAAAAATGCGAGCGCCCGAAAACAGCACGTCATAATGCAAGTCACAAACAAGAGTCGCAGACAGCCTAGCAGAACTGAACTGAGACTCGTAGACAGAAGTGTTGCTTAGTGGCTCTTCGGACAATGAGAGCGCAAACGCCCGACAGCAACATCGCAAAGTATCTGATACTAGCATAACAGATCACACATGATGAGACTGCAAGATCACGGACGTGCGAATATGATTGTAGTACATAAGCACGTTCATTGGGGCGCAAGGTCGAAGTAGGAATTTAACGCCAACATGGCAACGTAAAACAAGACAGCTGTTCTAATAGGATTGTAACATAGACGGTATGATAGCCTACGTAATCGAAAGCTACCCAACACACAAACGAACATTATTGACCACCACGGGAAATATATCAGTGCATGAAGCCGCATGCGGCTGTGGAGTAATATGTTATACAAAAGAGTTGCACGCATCACATCATATCAGGGCTGAGTGGGATCTAGCGTATTGAAGAGTGCATAGCTGAGCAAAACAGAATCTAATGTGCTCGCATTGTCCAAAATCGAATGCACGGTAGAGATACAGAAAATAGAAGCGCCAGAGTCAGAGACGCGCGCTCCGAGGTGAGGCTGGCCTTAGAAGCAGACAAGCGCAGCAACGAGCGACTGGACGACGCATCACACGTGGCAGGCAAATGCCACCCCGTCAATTACATGACGAAACAGAACAAAAAATACCAGGGTAGATAACAGAGTTGAAGACAGAAGAACACAGCCGCGACCGGTCAACGACGCCCCATCACACACAACATGCGATCTGACGCAAAGTTGGCCACAGGAAAGCACCAGACATGAATATAACAAAGCATAAACGAACAGGGAGTGATAGAGCATAAGGCAGCAGCGATCGAGCAACAGCGTCTTATCAAACGCGGCATTCGCGCCGAGCCCAGGCTGGACACAATAACGAATCAGTGCCAGACTTGGGAACACATGCCGAAGTTTGCGACGCTGGCGACTCGAATCCAAATAACTCTGGTTCCTACATGTCCCCGTTCCTCCTTATTCTCGCCCTTGCCCCTTTCCGCCCCTGATGCGCATGCGATTCCCCGACGCACCGCTCCTCGACATCTTCCTCCCGCTCCCACTACGCAGACCATCATGCAAATATTCATTTTGCTCCGTTGTGCCCGCGTCGTTCCTCATCCGCCTGTTTTGCCTTCTTCCCTGCCCCTCATCACGATCGAGGTCAAACCTTGATAGTCCTCCTTGCCGGCCGTTGGCAAAATCATTCGGTGGCTGTCCCCGCTATCTTGCGGCGTTGGGCCCTCGCGTTGAAGCGGCTTCGCTGGGGCGGGAAATCCCCGCGGGCACGAGGGAGATTGTTGCGCGGGCACTGCAGCGAGCACGGCAGGCCCCATTGGCCAAAGCATGATAGAGTCATCAATCGACTTCGCCACATGGTAGCGGAGCTCGGGCCCCGAGCCCACGGGGGCGAATATCGTTCGCCACTCTTCCGCGCCCCTGCAGCGGGCTTCCGCGGCGCCGAGTCTGCACCACAGATGGCGGCAATTAAGGCGGTCGACGCGCGCGCCGACGCGCGGCCCCGGCACTTCGACGGCACCGACGAGAAGCGGGGAGATTGGAGTCTCAGAGTAGAGGCCTACACCGCGCTGCTCGGCCTCGAGGACCTGACAACGGAGACGGCGCAGCGCCGCGCAGGGGCCCTCTCGCGAACGACGCGTTCGATGACCGAGCGAAGCAGGCAAGCGCGAGACCGCGGCGCTCGCCCATGACGCGGCGCGATGGCAAGCCACGGGAGCGGCCGAGCTATCGGGCGAGAACGGATTGGAGGCGCGGCGGCAGCTCAAGATAGAGCACGAGCGCACAGGCAACAGACGGGCGGCAAGGCCACAGTTCATCCTGAGCCCGCAGGACAAGCGGGCAAAGGACAGGGAGTCGGGCATCGAGGTCTCCCAGTCTCTCACGGCGCGGGAGGCGATCGTAGCAGAGCAGGCGGACCAGAGCGACGAAGCAGTTTCGGACAACGCACGAGCCAGCGCGCTACTTGGGCACGCGCCCAGACCGAGGCCACGCGCGGGCAGCGGCGGGCGGCTGAGCCGGCGCGCCCGACGGCCGGGTCTTCGCGGCCTCGGCGGCGCGCGACGGGGCGGCGAACGTCGGCGGCCCCGCCCCGATCGACAGCGGCAGCGACGGCCACCTCTGCAGGCGCAAGTTCGCCCCCGAGGCCCCAGTGAACGGCGCAGTCGGCGCTCCGAGGATCTTGGGCGTTCAGCAGAGACCGCAGCCCGTTGCAGGTCTGCGCGGCGCGGAGATAACGACGCAGGAGGTCATCAAGGCGACGGCGGGCTTCCTCGTCGCCGACGCGATTGACGACCTGCCGAGCATGGGCAAGCTGCTCAGGTACGGCCCCAGGTTCAACCTCAGCCTCGAGGACGGACCCTACCTGACCAAGGGCCACCGCGGCGCGCAGCTCGAGCTCGAGCGGAACAGCCCCAGGCCCCTCATCGCATCCGCTGGCCCCGCCGGGGCCGGCCGCCGCCGCGGAGCGGCGGGGCAACCAGCGAAGGCCCCCGCTCTCGCCGCGGACAGCCCGGCAAGCGCGCTTAGGATGCGATCGCGAGAGCTGCGCGCGCCCATCTACGGGGCCAAGACAGGATTGCGGGAGCGGCCCATTGCGGCAGAGGCTGCCCACAGGCGCGCCGCGGCGGAGGCGGGGCACAGGCTGGATGTCAAGGAGCAGCCCGGCACCAAGCACGACCCCGTCGAGGCGAGCCAGCCCCCCGCGCCGAAGACCCCGAGCGCGGAGGAGGAGAGGTAGCATCGCCTCACGCATTTACTAGCGGCGCCCAAGGCCCCAGACGCCACGATTTCGGCCGCTGCAAGACGGGCGACGAGGTGGGCGATCCCATTCAGACCAAGGACATATGCGATGCTCGCGGCGCCCAGCTCGGACACGAGCGCGGCGAAGGTCGCCCCGCGCCCCTCGCAGGCGGCATCCCCGCGCGCGATTGCAGGCGCCAAGTCATTCGCGCAGCGGCTCGAAAATGGCAAGTGCAGGGTCAGGACTGATACCGAGCAGGCGACCGAGGCAACCCCGCGCGGGGCGGCAGGCGAGCTGGCGGGCACGATCGCGCCAGAGCTGACCCCGAAGCACAGCAGCCAGTCGAACCAACCCAGCGAGGGCAGCGGCGAAGATAGGGCCAGACGCGAGTTCTCAAGCTGGACCTCGAGAAGCGCTACGGCTCCAGGGCGACGGCGGGCACGCCGACCTGGCCCTGGGCGACGCGACGCGCCGGGCGGCTGCACGAGAGGTCCTCGCGGCGAGCTGGAGGACAGCCCACGCGCGCGGCAGCAACTGGCGCGCCCTGCAACTTCGGCGAGACGGCGCTGCATCGGATTGCGCGGCCAGCGCATCGCGGATTCACCGGAGGACGGCGCTGTGAGACCGCGGAATCTGGGTCGGCAGGTCGGACAAGTCCCAGGAGCACTTGCCGGCGACCCCTCGGGGGATCGATCGCGCTCGGACAGTTAGACGGCAACCTGAGGCGCGACAGGCAGACGAGGGGCCACTGCTGTCGGCGACGGGCCCCCCTGGGCTACGAAGACGGCCCCAGAGAGGTCGAGGGGGCGACGGGCACCGCAGCCGGCGGCGACGGAGCTCCCGAAGGCGGACCAGCAGCAATAGCAGCAGGCGCAGCAGGCGCAGCCAGCGCCTCCAGAGGTCGGAGCGGTGCCAGCTCAGCCCCAGGCGCAATCGCAGGCACCTCCAGCGGCCGCGGCTGCTCCGCCGCAGTCGGCGGCCCCACCGGCGCCACCAGCGACGGGCGACCAGGCCACGGGAGCGCCCTCGCAGGCTACGAGGTGAGAGGTCTTGCCAGCGACGGAGGTTTCAAATGGCGAGCGCGCCCGAGCTGCGGAAGTCCACGCGCTCGGCGTCGGCGACGCGGGCGACTCTCCCGACGCGTTCTGGAAGGAGGTCTCGGACGAGGTAGAGGACCCGACCAAGGGCGCGCTCGACGCGGACATGCAGGATGAGTTGGACAGGAGGCCCACGCTGGATAACACGCAGAGCCTCCTGGACCTCGGCGCACGGGAGGACGCCCCCAAGTCGGGGGCGAACGGGGCGAAGCACATCACCACGCGTTGGGAGAAGCTGTGGAGGTGGAAGCCCGCCGCTCAGGAGTAGCAGCAGACGGCGCGAATCGTCTGCCGCGAGTTCCGCTGGCAAGAGTGGCGCAACGACTTAGTCATGCCAGGATCAGCGCCGATCTCAAACGTGCTCGTCGACATCGCGGCGCTCAAGCGCGGCTTCGAGGTGATGGCGCTTGGCGCGGCGGACGCGTTCTACCAAGTGCCCGATTACGGAGGCGCTGCGGTAGACCCCCACAGGAGTATTTGGACATCTTCTAGGCGGAGGGCAGGGACACGGCTATCGACTGGAAGCTGAAGATTAAGCAGCTACCTGGCAGGCGCTCGGCGGCGCCAGGCCGCGTCAAGCACGCGGCGGGCATCCTCGCGGACGAGACGCACGTGGCGAGGCGCGAGGTGGCCCTGCAGTTCTTTTACACCCCTGAGAGCGAGGTGGCGGTGGAGTTGCACATGGACGACGCCCACATGGCTGCTGGAAGAGACGCGCTGGAGTCGTTTCGAGACGAGCTCAAGCAACGCGTGACCTCAGCGACGGCGAGATCCCCGAGCTCGGCACCACCTTCGAACACCTGAAGCGGTTCAGGACGAGGCTTGAGCACGGGTCAGAGCTTCAGGCAAACCCGAAATACTTGAACTACGCGGTGGAAACCCTGGGCTCGGGCGGCTCGAACACGGCGCCCACGCTTAAAGTGCTGGCGCACGAGGCCCTCGCGCGCACCGCGCCCGCGCTGCCCCCACGACAGGCCGGCGTCTACCGCTCGCGCGCGGGGGCGCTGCTGCACTGCACCCAGGACAGAGCCGACTGCCAGTGCGAGGCCCGCCTTCTTGGCGGGACGCTGTCAGGCCCCACCGCCAGCGCCTTCGCAGCACTGAAAGGGCTGGCCAGGCACTTTCCCGGCACCTTCTCGTCGGCGGCTCGAGGGGGTGCGCGACGAGAGGGGGTCGGCAAGGCCAGGGACCCCGAGGAACGCGAGCCATGGCCCCAGCAGGCTGTCAGGCGCACGCCGATGGACCTCGGGATCGTCAGCACCGACGGGAACAAGGCGGACCTGGACGCGATGATCCCCGGACGCGAGAAGTTCGCGAAGCTCAGGGCGCTCAACGGCATCTACGCGGACATGAGCCAGGTCGTGAGCGAAGACCAGCCGTCGCAGGAGGACTTCGGCGTCGGCGCGGTCGCTCGGGCCCGGCGCTCGCAGAGCGCCGCGCCACTTGGAGACAATCGCCCGGCGGCCCTGGCGACGATCACGGCGGCGGCGGCGCTCTTGCAGGGTTGCGAGGGGCCAGCCGCCGAGCACGGCTTTTACGACGACGCGAACGCATGCCCTTCCGTGGACGGCAAGGACACGACTAGCTGGACGGGCGATCTGATGATGTTCATCATCTAGACGGCGGTCGCGGCCGTCGCCAGCGGCTACGCGGGTTTCCGCCGAGAAGAGATCACCAGAGTGGCACTTGGTGACCCCAGAGCCCGATACGAAGCCCAAGGAGACCCCCGCTCAGATCCCACGTGCGCCAGCCTCATCGGCTACGCAGTGCCCTGGACAGCAACAGCGCAGCGTTGACACACTGTCGCAGACAAGTGGGGGTGGGCAACTCCGCGATTTCAGCTACTACCAGAATACGCGCACGGAGCCTTCCTTGACGCGCGCGCTGACCATGCCAAGGGATTAGTTTTTAACTGACTGGTGAAGCTCGAGGTAAAGGAGCTTGAGCGGCCGTGGATCGCCGCTGGAAAGGACAGCGTGCGAGATTTTTGTTTGCTTGAGCTTCCGCTCGCTTCCGCTGTGCCTAGTGCGATTAGTCTAGTGTTTCTCTGCCCCCCTGGAAAGCCAAGTGAGCAAGCCAGATAGTGACATTCAAATTCTTGCGGTCGTCAAGTTCTAGCATGGGGGACGCCCCATTGCAGTATGTGTTATGAGTTATCGTCGTTGGGGGGGACTCGGTTGGAGTTTCGAAATTTCGGTTCCGGACACCGCGCCGAAATTCCAAGGGGGCGCGGCGCGCAGTGCAGTGAATCGATTGGGGTCGGAGACTCCCACGGGCAGGAGGGAGATTGTTGCACAGGCATGACAGCGAGCACGATAAGTCATATTGGCCCAAGCACGAAAAAAACACCAATCGATTTCGCTACAGTTCCCCTCTTGAAGAGACAGCGCCCTGCGTTTCAGTCATGATTATTGCTCCCTCTCCTCCTCCATGCCTGCTGCACGCCATGTTGGCGCACCCCTCACACGTTTCGTGGCCCCATAGCGAGTTCCACCTGAGGCCCCAGCGGTTGAGCCCACATGCCTAGTCCACATCATTCGGCGTTCCCTTCACACGCTTCGTGATCCCATAGGGGGCTCCACCTGAGGCCCAAGTCTGTGCGCGTGCCTGGTCCATACCATTTCTGCGCTCCAGAAAGGCACCTGAGGCCCCCTCCGTAGCCATGTTGGCTCAAGCCAGTTTGGCTCGAGACATTTTGGCTCAAGCCGTGTTTGCCCACGCCTTTAAGCCAGTATCAACCATCAGCCTTTCGTACGTAAGGAATAGGTCGGCACCAGCATCGGCAATGCTATCAAGGAGGTCAAATCCGATGGTGTACTCAATACTTGTTTTAAGTTTGTGCGATATAGGAGTTTTGAGCTTGCACTTGGAGGCGAACGGGAAAAACATGCGATTAAACGAAAGGGAGATGGCAGATGTCAGCGAAGCCGCCATTGTATGACATATCGCACGTCGACGGAGAATTCAAATGCCCCCGCAGCAAATCAGATGATATTACTAAATCCACATGGGTTCCAGACGACTGTGAGTTACCACTTTTTAACGCAAGCAAAATGCAGCAAATCGTTTCTCGGCGTCCCATATTCATGGTCGGTGATTCGCTAGTTCGCAACACATACGAATCATTGCGCATGTTAATGCCGGTGGTTGATAACATACATTTTGACTTTGACCAGTATTTTGGACACGTGTGTACACCCATTAAGTCGACAGCAAGAGATCAATTTCTCACTGAGCGCGATCACGATAGTTTGGGACGGGGTGCTTGCGCTGTGAAGCTTAACGAAATTTCTGTCAGAATTACTAAGTTTGGCAACTTACTGCACCACATACAGAACAGCTCTATCCTGATTCTTGGTGGTGGACACCATTTTGCGCATCGTGGCAACACGTATCACCATAGAGACAGGACTCTCGAAGACACGGGCGGACGCATCAATATTGAGGCACTCACCATTGCTATTGAACATGCGCTCCGCAAATTAGAGAAGATAGCATTCACAGGAGACGTTATTTTGCAAACCTATAGCCCGGGGCATTTCTTTCATGGTGATTGGGATTCGCAGGGCAGTTGTAACGGACAGACGGGGCCAGTGAATAACATTAGTGAGTACGCCGATTTGGGATCTGCGTCTTTCTCGGACATCGAAGCAGTAAATTCGATGTTGCGTTCCATTGCCAACAATCCAGACTGGAGGTTCGGCGTTCGCATTTTCGATATCACCGCTATGAGCTGGGGGCGAGCAGATGCTCATCCTGGCAATTCCTCAAATGATTCACCCGGCAAGGCAACCAAAAATGATTGTTCGCACTGGTGTTTACCAGGACTTCCAGACCTTTGAAACCAGGCATTACTACACATGCTGAGCGATCTGGTCGCGTGAGGATATTGCCAA